CCACTGTGTTGCTGGATTTCCCTGGTACATGCTCTTTCTAGGCAAACCTGTTTTATAAGTAGAAAGAAGCCACTTAGTGTTCACTGTTATGAGGTGTACGAGAACCTATTTTTTCTTGCTGCCTGCCAGAACCTTCCAGGCTAATTACAAGGCTTTTTCCAGTGTTTTTATCCTGTTAAGTAGGAAATGGCTTGAGAACGAGAAGAATATTGTGGTACATTTGCTAGATATACTTTTATTCTTTCAAGTTTGTGGGATGCCCTGAATGCTTTATTTCATTAGATACCGTGGCAGAACAGAGCTATTTAAAATGCACAGAAAAGGATTGGCTTTTCTCTTAGATACATTTATCACAAATTAAAACAGCAAATAAGATTGTTTTAGTTTTTAAAAATGCTGGCCAACAAATAAATACTGTCTGATGTGATTTTTTGTTTTTCCTGTTTTTTTTGACTGTTTACCACTCTCCTCCTCCCCCACAGCAAAATATCTACTTTGAATGTGTATTTCTGAGTTCTCTTTACTCCTTGTGTAATTTGCAGGAGTATTTTTTTTTTTATGGTGTATTCCACCAGGTGGCTCTCAAGGCCCAGAATGTGAGAACTACTTGGTGCATCTATCAACTAAGGGGATTTGGGATTATGTAGGGCATTGTAGAAAACTGAATTATATTCTTATAGCATGTATTAAATCTGAAAAACACTAGGAAAAGTGACCAATACCTTAATCCCTTTGGGAAAAAAAACCCGCAAAGAGGAGTTGTAATGATTCTGAAAAAATATTACTGTTAAACACAATATAGTAGAAGTGCTTACATATCGGTTGGGTATTGGAGGACAGGGAACACTGCTGTAAGTGGCAAGAGATCTACATCTGATTCTTTGATTATTTTTCGGCTCTTTTCTGAAAAGTTATTTCTGGTCTTCAGTTCTCCTTTTGAAAAAGTATTTGCTGCCTTGCACTTACAGAATACTTACTAAGCCTCTGTATTACAAAAAGGGAGTGGATGTTAGGTTTTACAATTTTGCAATGTCCTCTTCCTTGTCTTCTGAACCATTGTTTAATTTACCTTGTCTATATGTAGGCTCATGAAATTAAAAGTCAGCAAGTTTAAATCAGTAAAATGAGCAAATATTTATGTAAATAGATAGCAATATTAATTTCCAAAAGTACTGGCTAGAATTTAGTCCAATTTATTAAAAATTATAGATACATGTGAGTAAAGACAGGACACAACTAATGAATTTGCTGAAAAGCATAAGCTACTGACTGACTGCCTGGAAGTAAAGAAAACCTTTTCCTCTGGACAGATTCCACAGAAGTTTGGGAGTTCACTGAGCTATATGATACCAGTCACTAGCAGTTACTGGATTGAGCCATGAACCGATCTCGTGTGTCAGTTGCTGTTGTGTTCTTAAATGGTTTTCTGATAGAAAACAGGCAAAATGAGTCATGAACTGGGATAAACTGGAGGAAGATAATTGCCCATGTCCAACAAATGTGGTGATCTTAGCGTAGGTCGGCATTAGTACAGGGGCTTTGGAGGTTGCATAGGTGAATAGTGCCAATGTATGCCAGAGGTAATGACCCGAGGATGATACTGGGGCTGGTTTAGAAATGGTCTGTTTGGTCCCTAGCCTCAAATGATTCACTGTAGATGAAGCAGCTTCTACTGCTCCAAAGTGCTTTTATACAGAAGTGTGGGACACTGAAATACATTATGTCTTAATTAGTATTCAGCAGTTACTGAAATAACTTTTACACTCTTACCAACAAAAGAAGTGTCCAGCGTTAGCAGTTGCAGTATTTCTTAGAGGACCTTGAACTCTAAATCATGTTTTTGAATACGCTAAGCAATGTTCTTTTGTGGCATGAACTTTTCCATGCGAGTTTTTAGTGCTCTTTAATGGTGATGCATTTGGAGTCCGTTTGCATTCCTGTCATCCAAACAAGCCACTTCTGCTCTATGAAAAGGCAAGCTAATTAAGTCAGCCCAGTAGGCCTGCCTACTGTTGTGGTCAAAGAGTGACTCAGTTGGTTTTCCAGGCTCTTTGGATGGCAAACCACTGACACTTTCAATGGCTGGGGAGTTTAAAATTAAAAATGAGTAACTCACTAGAGATAAGTTTGACAAGCCACCTCCTTTTGCCATATTAATTTTCTAGAAGTTTATTCTGTATCCAAATAAAATTTAATGGGGTTTATTCTGATTACTATTCTCTAAAATCAGATATGAAGCTATTCTGGCCAAATTTACTTTTTTTCATTAAAATATAGGCTGTCTTGGAACAAAATTCCTGGAATCCGGAGGTGGTAATGTAATCCTTAAAACTAGTTCCAACATGGAATATATCCTTGACAACTCAGTTTGAGTTGCAGTGTATATTTCTTTTGTAGTCTCTGCTTGTTTACTCTAAAGGCCAAAACCTAATTGGTCTAAGTGACTTTTGTGGAAGAGAACTATTCACAAGATACCCAAACTGCATTTAGTTTCCTGCCATGAGTAATCAGGCTGTTTTGCAGTAATTTGTTACAACCCTACATGCAGGCTGAGACATACAAGTCTGAATCCTTTCAGAAAGTTCCTGCAGTCCTTTGAGTTTAGTGTGCAACATCCATTTTTACTGGGAGAGAAATTTCACAGGGGATTGGCAAAATCTCTTTGGATGAATGATGGGTAATCAGAAACACAATGGGATAAAAGACGACCGCTTAAAATACAGGAACAAGTAGCATGTAAATGAAATGGGACACCTCCTCATTCTTCTAGCAGTACTTTGAGGCCTAAATTTGTCCATGAACTCTTTTGTAAGAAAAAAAAATTACAAAGCAAATGCAAAACTTCTTTTGTATCAGCTTTTGAAAAATCTTTTATAAGAAGTTATTTCCTTTTGTATTCTTGCTAGGGTGGCTAACTTCACTGAGTGACTTTTGAACTGACTTCATTTCCTTACCCTGTTTTCCTCCCTTTGGCTTTGAGTCTTATTGCCGATTTTCTGTGTTTCAATAATTTCTATGGGCTTCTTTATTCTTAGCTTCTTGTGGCATTGACTTGCAATTGTTAGCTTAGAACTGATTTTTATTTAGTTATTTGTTTTTAACTGTCAAAACATTAGTGAAGGGAAATTTATAGCATATTTTATGTAGCATTCAAAACCTCCAAACAAAACATCTAGTTTCCAGGGCAGAAAATTATGATTATGCCTGCATCTGAAAAGCTAGGGAACGGATAATTCCAGAAAGAAAAGGCTTCCCTGTGTTTTGGACATGCACAGTGACATCGTCCACCTAACTTGTTTCCTCTCCCTCAATTATTATTGCTATAATTTTGTCACATTATATCTAAGCGGAGTGAAAGCTACCTGCATTGGCCCTAGTACCCATTTAAAAGAAACTCCTAGTCTAGTAGGAACTGGCACATATTAAATAGAGTCCTGTTTACCAAACTAAATTATACCAAGTATAGCACTTAACATCTAGTCATTCTTAAATGAATGTTTTATAGCAGAAAAAAAACCTGTCATCTGCCAAAATGCCTTTATTATAATGTACATTAAAGCTATAGATTTTGTAAAGTGACATGCTATCATTTGATGATGTTTTACTAATTACTCAGGGTTTGTTTTGTTTGTTTGTTTTTAAGAAGAGTAGACTTGATGTAGCCTAAATTGAAAAGCTTGAGTTTAAAACTAACTGAACGCTATTCTTGCATTTCCCTGGAAGATGAGTGCATATGTGTTTGCTTCATGTCAGTAGAGCATATCAGCTAACGCAAACAGGATAGAGATACCTGCTGCAAAGTGACTGCAGTATTACTATGAAGTGTTGCAGGGCAAGCAGAGATCCACATAACAAGTTTTTATGAGGCAAGCATGAGAAAACAGCTTTTATGTGCCACTAGAACTGGTGTGTACTGCTTAAGAGTGATTAAAAAAAGCTGTGAAAGAATGAAAAACTTTCAAGATTACTGATTTTGGTTAAAGGTATCGGTAGTCTCTTCCATATTTATATGAACAAGGTAGTGCTGTAATAATACTAAGTTCAGAGCCAAGGTTTGTTTGGTATTAACTCAGTGTCATCATCCCCCGGCCCCAAGGTGACATGGATAGTCTTATCACAGAATAGCTTCTGATTGAAGACCAATTACTCTGAAAACTAATGTCATCCAAATGAAAAAGTCAAACTTTCTTCAACTGGAAAAAAGGTAATATAGATGTAGATGTGGCTTTTTTTTTTAAGAAACCCTCCCAGGTTTCTGTTTCCAAGGTCAAATTTTGCCCTCAGATTCCTTGTGTCCTCCTTCTCACTGCTGCAAATAATCCTTTTGGTTTAGAGCTCTCCTTTGTGCTACTCTGTGCACCATGCTTATTTGCCAGTTAGATTTCTCAGATTTTGCAGTTAGTTGCAAAAATCATTGAACCTTTCTATGGCAACCTTGGCAATGAGTTTTTCCTGCCTTTTTATTGATAAGATACAGAGAATTTCAAATTCATGTCCAGATTATTTGGGGAACAGCCTGTTCTAGCATCTCCAGGAACTGTCTCAGTACCTTTAAAATATGACCCTTAAGGTCTTTGAAAACCCATATACTTTATTGTTTTTTTTTAAACTCTTCTGATGCCCAAGGAAATTCTAGATGACTCAGTCAATTAATATATAATTGACCTGTGTTTTAAAGTGTCCATAGGTTTGTCCAGCTTGAACAAGATATACTGCCTTTTCCAGCGAGGTATAGATGGGGTGCTCTGCTACTAACTATAACTCAGCTCCACCAGGTGGCTGTCACACTATGAGAGTGTGCGCTGTGAAGGTTTCCACCAGCACGTGAAGGGCAGCGTTTAACATTACATTATCAAAGCACTGCCTTGGATTTTAATTATCGAACTCCTACATGGAATTTAATGGGAATTACAACTGAACTATAGTAACTTGGTTGATTTTCTCATTAGTTACCTTCAGGTTTTGGTCACAGTCAAACAGTTCTTTACATCTGAACGAACATGCAAGGTTTGTTTCTGCTGTAATAAAGTCTAGGTATTCTCTCCATACATCCTGTTCACAGGTAGCGAGTTTGAGGCTAACACTTTAAAATGCATTTCCAGGAAAAGAGGCTTGCTTTCTGAAGAGCTGCTGTACGATATTTTATTTTGAAAGCTAGATAACAAACTCTTTTGAAACTAAACTCTTGAAAAAACTCTTGAAAGCTAAATAATAAACTCTAGGACACAGTAACAAATTGAGTTTGAATTTTTAAAGATCTTAAATATATACTGTTTTATTATAGTAAGTAAAGATGGCTCTGTATTGGCATTGTACCAAGCTTCTCTAGACAAACTGTGTTCTTGATGCTGGTTTTATCACCAGTCTCATTCATTTTCTTTTATACAGGTATCACAGGAAAAGGTGACCTTACTGTGGGTGCAACTACAAGTGGAAAAGTGAATTTTTACCCCTGGACAATAGATAATAAATATTATTCTGCAGATATTCACCTCTGCGTAGTACCAAACACCTTTCTTGTTACTGGAGATATTGCTGAATCTGTGCAAGCATTTGTTGTGTACTTCGACAGCACAATAGTAAGACTCTTCTGCTTCATTATATTGCTTTATCTGTATGATGTAATTGCCTTATCACAGTGATAACCACAAATTATATTCTCTTCCCATCCATTGTGCCATCCATTCCTTTTAGGCTGTTCTATTAATTGTCAGTAGATCAATGTTAAATTATGCCTGCCAACAATGGAAGCGGTTTCCTTCCCTTTTACTATTATACTCCAGCTGGAAGAGAGGTTTTCAGGATGCAAATATGCCACTAAGTTAGGCAAATCTTCCTCCAGCCCACCACCTCCAACTTTACTCCTAGCTGGTGGTAGTTCAGAAAGGCTGCTTTAGGATAGCCAAGAATGAGTGAACTAAATGTAAGATTCAGTGCTATCATTTTACCCGAAATTGTTTCTACTAAGCTGGCAGCAATGAAAACAGTGCTTTAGCAAAAGCCAGAAAGATTCTGAGACAAAAAAATATTCTAAATAAAGAACTGTTTTTCACCACAGATGGGAAAGGGTGCATACCACACATTCTGACAAGATACCTTTAACCAGACATCTCAGGGCTGTCTCAGAATGAACTAGAGCAATGGGAGTAGTTCACCAGCCCCTATAACATCCACTTTAGTGTAGAAGATTGAGTAGCTGCACATTAAACCTGAGATATGCTTAAAATGAAATACTCATAATTAGCCTTAAGTAGAAATCTTTCCTGACCTACACTAGGATTGCATAATTAATATTAAACAGGAAAAGGAAGGTTCAAGGCAGTAGTATTAACTCATCTGTAAAGTAAGTCAAGAATCAGAAGGAAGTTGTGTATAAGTCAACTTCTCTGATTAGAACACAAGTGCCTTAAACATACTTGATATGCAGCCTAGCATATTTCCTTACTTCATTGCTTTTATTCTAATACTATTAATGATTTAAAACTAGTTTAAAAACTAAAGTATTTGAGGATGTATTCCAAAGAACTGTTATTTTTCTTCCCTTTAGAAATCTGGACTTGATAGTGTCTCTGAATGGCTTCCCCTGACAGAAGAGTGGTTACCAGAAGTCATGATCCTGGTTTGTAACAGAGTATCTGAAAATGGTATGAAGCCCAAAGACGTTCTGAACTGATTAGTTATTAACCTTGCCTAATAATTTACTTCCTAATTAAATCAACACAATTGTTTCTTAAAATATCTGTGTGAGACTGGGCTCGAGATTTAATTGAAAAGAGCCGGGTTACTCTCATGACCAGGAACAGAAGAGTCTTAAGCTAGTTGTGGTTAAAACTGAGTCAGAATTTTACAAGCTTGCTTGAAATGAGCTCTGTGTATCCCATTCCTAGTATACCAGCATGCACTGCATTACTGCAGGGTAACTAAACAGGCATTCATATTACTGGATGTGCATGATCCTCTCTGGTGAAGAATGACGATGACTGTTGGTTGCTTAACTACAGTGGAAAGTACATTCATCTTTTTGACCATTTGGACATTAAATACACACATTTGCTTTGGTTCTAGATTAGTATATGCAATACAACAGCAAGCTGTAAGATGCAGATATGTCCCTGTAACTTAATTCAGATTTAAACCTAGAGTTAATAGAAGTCTTCATTCACTGTGGCACTTCACTTACATTTCCCTTTGAGTACCCATTGCAAAGCCATTTGATTTTATGGTATTTGAAAAAAACAGTTCAAAGGAGGAGTTTGTTTAACTCTGGAGTTTTTGGAATCAAATTCAAAGTGAACGGAGGACCCACACCAGCTACTATATACTTCTTCTCCATACAATCCAGAATAAGCAAACAACTTTGAGGGAATAAAATGTAGCTAAAGATTCAACTGCTGATATTAGTCTCAAATGTGTATGTTTAGTATGCATTTTTGTTCCCAACTTTAGGTATTAACAGACAGAAAGCTCAAGAATGGTGCATCAAGCACGGCTTTGAACTGGTAGAACTTAACCCTGAGGAACTGCCTGATGAAGATGGTAGGACTGCTACTTCTGTTTTAATTTTTAGCATGAAAAAGCACACCAAAATATCTTCTAAACAATTGCAAGGGGCATAACTTTATTTACGTGCTACATGATTACAGCATGGAATGCTCCCAGTTGGTGAGGCTTAGTCTCAGCTATAAAAGGTCAGGAGGAGGAGGTTATTTCCTCCAAGAAATTCCATTTGTCTCCTCCCAAATACAGCTGCTGTTTATGTAGCACCTACATAAAAATATCTGCTCCTTTTTCTGGCACTAATCCTAGGACTGTATTGATAGATTAGAAGCATTTATATTCCACTTTGGAAATAAATCTAAAAACCAAGAACCAGAGATATGCACAACAGCGGGAAAATTCTTTGTCTTTTTAAAAAAGACTTTTAAAACTATTGTACATACCAAGAGAAGATAGGCATTATTCAAACAGTGACATGATAGGCTGAAAAGGGGAGCTTGTTAAAAACATTTCAGAATAGCATGCACTGTTACACAGGAAATAAACTGGTTTCAAAATCACTGGCTGACCATATGTTTATAACTTGAAAAAACCCATCAAGCAAAGTCAAAAGTGTGATGTGTGATGTTCCACTCTTGAAAAGTGACTGTGCACTTCCTGACAGCCTTATCAGCAGCCGCCTTACCTCCTCATTTCAGTGATACAAAAAAAGTGTTTACATCTTACCTCTATAGAGCCAAAATGAGATAACTGACTCCATTTCCAGGCTTGAGTGGAATTAGTCACTAGCATTTGCTCTATTTCAGGTTCACCAAGTACATAGCTGTGACCAAAAAATGATTTAGTCTAAAGGCCTAAGCTAGAACTCAAGTCCCACCCTTTCCCCCCCTTTAAAGGCCTAGATAAAAATCATATCTTGAGTAGCTAAGATTGCCCCTTCTCCCCCCGCCACATCTTTAAAGATATATTTCTTTTTGGCACTTAGGGAGGGATACACATACTTCTGATCTATAGAAACCAGAAAAATCAGAAGTGGATACCCTTTAGACTAAAGTTTTCTTATGAAGTGCTTTAAAAGGAAACACTAGTAACATTAAGTCAAGGTTTTTTTCTATTCAATAACTGTTGTAAAGAATGGGCTATTTACTATTTAAATAATATAAGTAATGGGAATAATAACAACTCAGGATGTTAATCTTTGGAGTATTAAGATATATGTTCTTTCCTGGATTTTTAATATGGTAGTTGATTCACTGTGACTCATGCATAGGAGGAAACGTATTCTACTGACTAACATATTTACCCCATAAACATGCTGTATGAATTACTTACAAAAGACAAAATGGATGGAGTAAACATACTGGGCCAATGTCTGTTTAAAAATTATGACATTTCTGGCAGCTCATCACAGATGAACTGAAGCTCTTGCTATGACTACACTGTCAGTCAGTTGTACAGTAAGGACAAGAACTCTGAACTGAGACTCTTGATAATGACTGATACAAAACCAAACAGCAGTGTTGTAGAGGGCAAAATATTTGATCTAAGGGATCATAGACAGCTTTAAATTAATTTTTAAAGGCAGTTTCAATTACTACACCTGTCCCTGAGTCATCCTAGAAGAGTTTGATTTTTAAGCAATCACATTTTTGTATCCAAAGGGTTTGGTGTTTTTTTTTTCTATTGCTTTGTGAGACCTGCACAAACATGGGAAGCTGACTAAACTGAGGAAATGGGAAAACTGACTTTATACAAAGTGGTGTCAGATCTATTCAGTAAGTAAGTTGAAGTCCAAATAATGCTTTCCCCAGTCTTTTCAAGTTACTGTAATTCACAGAATTACTGGAACATATGGAGTTAGGTGTTGTGGAGATAGCTTTACAATGATGATTTTCATTTTTAACAAGTGTCACACCTTTTTTAAATGGTTGCCTGAAGTTCTTTACTTTCTAAAGGAAGGAAGAGTAATTCTAGCATCTATTTTTATGCCATACAGCATTCTAAGAGATCTTGGGGTAAAAGGTGCCTTGCTTTTAACAGCAAAAATAGTCTATTACTATTAAATTTACTTATATGTTATTTAACAATGTAGGCCTCATGCTAAATATTTAACAAAACCCCACACAGAATTTAGATCTCTACAGAAGGCTGAAAGCTCACAGTTCATAATACCTGGAAGCCTAGACCAAGAACTGAGGCATTAATTTAGATTTGTTTGGCATCTCATGAAGCAAAGGCAAGAAATCTGTGTTTCCTAACAAAAGTAGTAATTTATATCGATTGCAATAAGATAGGACAGGCATTCAGACACACACTTTCTTACTTTCAGGCACGTAATGGTTTTTGGTCTAATTATTAGGAGTGCAATGTCTTTCTCTTTTGGTTTAGATGACTTTCCAGAGTCCACTGGAGTGAAACGAATTGTACAAGCTTTGAATGCCAATGTGTGGTCCAACGTAGTCATGAAGAGTGGTATGTAACACAGGTTCCTCTTATACGAATTCTGGAGAATGCAAGGCCTAGAGGGCTTAGTATTTTTAGCAAAAGTTTAAACTGAGCAGCTACAGTGCTGCTGCCACTGCATCAGTATAAAGAGAACTAGAGCACTCTTCAACCTTTTACATGGAATAGTAGGGTTTCAGGTATTGCTTTCGTTGTCCCTTGATGCACAGAGAAACTTGCAGGCAATGGGTGAGATTTATTCCTGTTGCAGCATCTGTTCCTGTTTCCCCAGTACTTTGACTTGCTCTCTACCAATAACTCGAGTTAAATATTCCACTAACTCTTCAAATTTCAATGAAAAATGAAAGCTTGTTCCACCAAACTCTAGCAGCAAATAGCTCGTCATTATCAGCTTGGTCTAAAAACTGATACATGGTTTAGTGAGGAAGTAGTAAGTGTTAAATTCCAAATTTGTTACAGTTTTTTTGAAAAAAATATTTGAAACACGGATGAGAATAGCAAGTGTGAAGATGAGATTTGGCAAAGAAGTGATTTCAAATGTCTGTTGAAGGACATGCTAAGTGGGACTGAAGGACATGCAAAAGAAGGACTGTCTTCCCTACAGAAAACCCCACTTGAGTACATGAAAACCACAGAATTTTTTGAAAACAGTGCAAAAAAACAGGCAACCCCAGATAATTTCCTGCAGATAATTGATTATCAGGTAGAGTTAGAGTTTTGGAAAAAATCACTTTAGGATTAGACTCATTACAAAAGGAAATGCTGTGGCTAGCCCAGAGTTATTGCAAGTGTAGATACTTCCATTTACTTGAAAACCTTTAATTACCTTTCTAATAACACAAGCTGTTGCAGGAAATGTAGGAAGATTAAACTCTTGTGGAGTGCTTGGCCTTACATTTATTTCAAGTCTCATCCTACTAGCAACCTTCCAATGTCTGCCTACTCCCTGATGTACAATTTTCCACTGTTGTGGTTTCTTCCTTCCTAGCCCTTTTAACTGTGTAATGATTTCAAGTGCTGAGAGGCTTCTGGTAGTTCCTGTAACTGCAAGGTGATTACTGGGACTCAGTAGAACTAGGATGAGAACTACTAAACCGGTATTTTTTTTTAATTTTTTTTAAGGTAGCCTTTTGAGTATTTCTCATACCACATCAGAATGAGGTTAAGATTGGTTCTAACTTAATGTAACCATTGTAGAGAAATAGGTAGCTATTTGAGATGGTGTAAAGTTATTTCACTAGTGCTAAAATGGTTTTCTTAACAGTGTATTTCCTGCATTTGACAGATGCCACATTACAGAAGAACAGAACTTAGTCACATGTTCAGTTCTTCATGGGGGAAATTCCTGTGCATCATTAGTGTGTTCTGTAAAGGTCAGACTCCTTGAAAATCCAGGGTTTTCTATCTCTGCAGTACAGAAGCCACACAGCATTGATGCACATTACTACAGACCCCTCAGGAAGTGAACTATATTTGGAAGTTCTCGCAGCCTGACTATGCCTTCAAAGGGAAATTGTTGAGCTCATTTTGCTTAAAATAAAACTTTTTACAACCTGTAATGTATCTTTTGTTTTCAGCTTCCTCCTGATCCCGGAAACTGGCCACCATGTAAATCAAACTTTAGTTTTTCTACTGAATTACCTATAACTGTTGGCCATTTAGAAACTATGCAGTCATACTTCATGTGAAGATTTTTCATAGAGTATAAGAAATTTGTATAGCACTGTTAAGTGCAGCCATCCAAAAAGCCAATGTTACAGTGCTGCCTTACTTCAGCTATCTATTTGTATGAGAATTTAAGTTTACAGGCAGAACAGGAATGACTTTTTTCAAGTGCAAGCGTTAAACCCATATTATTTTAAGGTGTTCTATCTTAAACCCAAACACAGTTCTTCTTAAGTTGTGAAGTAGTTTTTTCACACACCTATTAAGAAAATTCTTGACCTTTTGATTTTTTTCTCTAACTATTAAATACATTCATTCTCACACTAATTGATAAAAATAGGTATTAAATATAGCATAGTTGAATTATAAACATTTTTACATCAAGTAATACCACGTTTTGTGAGTAAATAAAGCGGTATTGTCTCTACTAGAAGGAAAACAAGCAGTCTTACCTGACAGTCTCCAGAGGGCAATTCCCTTTTGTAGTTGGTATAAAGTTGTTGGTTCTCCAGGACTCAGAGCTTTCTTCAATCTGAGAATCGGGTGGTTTTCTTTCCCTTGTGCAGAAGAGCATGAGTAGTTCTTCAGCTAACATCTTCCCCCCCCAAAAACAGTGCACTGCTGTTGTCTTTAGGTGTCCCTTCAAGAGCAAAGCTAGCTGACCTAGATAGTAAGAAGAGAAACAATTTACTGCTCTCTGAAAGAGGCTACTTGGCTACTTTCCTGCTTAAATACGTGTTCAGTGATCCCAGCTGAAGCTGGTTACTTAGGGTGGGGCCAGTAATTAGCCTGGCTCTCTTTACAAAGATTGAGCCCGATTTAGGGGAACTATTTACACGTAGTTATTTAACCAAATTATGAATTTTGACTTCTTAATTCCAATTTTGTGTGGAAGTCAGGATCACCACATGTCAGCTAGAGACAGACTATGGAAGAGTAGTAGATAAAGACAGTGGAAAACATTTTGCTATGAAATGAGCATATATGAATCTTGACAGTGTACTAAAGCTCTGCAACTATTGATGAGTGACACCTGTGAAACTATATAGACTCCATCATGATAGAGCCACCAACTATTACAATAAGTTGAGTGAGATAATTTTTGGCTTTGATGCTGTAAGAACACTGTGTAAGGCATCACCCACTTCCTGAATTGCACCCAGAAGTTGAAATAATTTTTACATCCAATAAAAAGAGTTTATAGGAAGGCTTTTTCAAGGGTGTGCCTGCAACCAAGTGTTATGTCTGCCACCTCCCTAACCACGGATCCAGAAACAAATAGCTGCTTTTCAGAGATCCCTGCTGTAGATTCCAGTTCTTTCTAACTAGGACAACATTTTGTAATTACGCTGGCTGATGTTATGTGTATGTGGTGGTGGTGGGGACGGAGCTACTGTCGTTTTTCTGTACAGGATGAACTCTAATAGATATGAAAGAGGTACATAATTAGGTCACTTCATCCACACCTCTGCCAATGTGGGAATGTTCTCTCTCAAGTACATTCTGGACTGCAATGTCCAGTCTAGCTTCAGATGACTCAGAAATTGGCTAAATGTTGATCTTTACAGTTCCTCTAAAGACTGCTCTTTGCTCAGCCTGCTGAAACTTGGGGAAGCTACTTTGTTTTGGGTTGCGAGTCCCATTCTTTTATCACTTAATTGCCGGACTGGCGGACTTCACGGGCTTTCACGTCTTGCAGCTGTACATTTTTAAGGCGATTCATTCGGCTCGGCTGAATCACTTCTTCCCAAACCTTTGGCGAGTGATCTGTTAAAGCAGTAAAACTATATAAAACAGAGCCCGTTGAAACAAATACCTGCTGGGGGGCAGGAGAGAGCACGAGGGGCAAAGAGGACAGGACAGGACAGGACAGGACAGGACAGGACACTCATTAGCCTAAGTACCCAGTGAAGATTATTAAACAGGAAATGAGGTCTTAGTAATTCTCTAATGGAGACATGTTTACATGTTTTCTAGATAGCTGATAGTTTTAGTTACACATTCAACTCTTTGAAATGAAATTTTGTATAAATGGCAAGTAAATTTGGACAGTGCATAAAAATGACATCATCTCAACATTTGAGTCTAGATCTTAGTCATTAGTGTAATATTAATTTAAAACACATTTTTTAAAAAAAGCAATCTTAATCTTTCTTCTGGTACAAGTCATTGTTTCCTGGCTATTTGTAGTACAATAACTTAATATTATTTCTTTTTTAGTTGACTAAATGCTAAAATTTTCAGAAAAATCTCCTGAGTCCCTTGTGTAACTGCAAATATTTACTACTCAATGCAAGGCCAGCCGAAAACAGCTTAGAAAAAAATCCAACCTATAATATCACCTATTATGCATACATTTTTATTTGAAAAAATAAAGTTTTTAAAATACAGTTAGTTTAATTTAAAAATACTGCACTGCATCTATTATCTTCAATGAAAAAGATGATTGTTTAGTTTTAGGTTTGAATTCACATTTTTTTTAAGGTTGGATTTTAAAATACCATTGAAATACACAGTAGATTAGCAGATGTGGAAAGCCCAAAGCACCCTGCAGTGTGAAGAAACATTGGATTTGATGGCTGGGTCCTTTCATGAATTCTGAATTACATATTTAAAAATTGCCTTTGCCATTACTGTAGTGCTCAACCTATTTAGGCAATATGTGTATAAATGAAGTCACTTGTTGCATTTCCTGTATTTAACCACAAACTCAGTGCTGCATCCCGTGGATGGTGAAACCTGGGCCACTGAATGCCAGTAATAGCAAATGCTGCTTCTGTATTTTGAAAACTGCCTTGTTTGGAATCAGAAGACATTTGGCAGACCAAATCCTAACAGAGCAGTGACTTCAAATATGAAGAAAAAAGAGCTCACATCTCTTGTGGCTTACACATCTATTCCCAGTTGGTAATATTTAGCAGTAAATATTGTTAGTATACTTCAAAGAAAGCTTGGAGAATATGAAAAGTTTCTGCTTAAAATAGGGCACTGATACAGTTTTACAGAGTGCTCTGTGTGTGTCCTCCCTGAAACATTCTCTATTCCATCTGGTCAGTTACAACTATTTGTAATAATATTGCATTTTTCTGTCAAACTAACAGCTGTTCTGTTTTTAGACAGGACCCAGGGCTTTGGTCTTCTCAGTACATTAGCAGGTGCGAACTGTAGCGTTGGGTCAGAAGAGAACCAAGATACGGAAGTAAACAGTAATTCCTATTTCTTGTTCTTTGCTCATACTGTTTCTTGCGTTGCTCTTTCCTATTGTCACACTTGGTGTGGTGGTGGCGGCGGCGGCTTTCTTTTTTTTCCTCCTTTCTCAGGGGATGCTTCACAGCCTATTGGAATGTATTTTAAAGGAAAAATTTCTGAAATCTGATAAACTGTTTGCATTTTTCTTACAAGTCCTGAGACAGTTGTTCCTAGGAGCTGTCACCTCATGGCTGTGAGCTTGCTGTTTTTCAGGACATTGCCTCAGAACTCATCGTTTTACCTGGAGATGTCCGATTGTGTGCTCAGTGTGGAAAGCTGTTGGGTGTTGATCACACTGACTTCAGCGCTGTGTAAATGCTTTACCCCATACAAACCACTGGAGCCAAGGAAAGATTATTAAAAGCTCCATTCAAGATGTTATTTTTCATTAATATCCAAGAGCAGTATTATGTGCAAAACAAAAACTGTCACTTGATAGTGTTATTTAAAAAACAACAACAAACCTGTCGGAGAAAAGCTCCATGTAGTACCTATGTACAGTGTTGCAAAAGTGGTTTTTCATGATACACATGGTACAGGTTTTGCAGTAAGTAACAGTTTAGGATAAAGAGTAAGTTTTTGAAATCAAAACAGGAAGCACCTGATTTGCAGATGATGCTTTTTAGGTTCATTATTGGATACTCTAATATCTATTTGTTTCCTGACAGTCCAATACCTCATCAGCAGACAGAGAAGAATCCCATTTAGACAACAGAGAAGATGGACCTAGCACAAACAACCTACAGATTGACAACATTGTAGGTAAGCTCTGCCGTTCTCTGCTTGGCAGATATGTTGGAGCAGGCACCCCTGGCTGGGATGGTCCCAGAAAGCCACTGGCTTTTTCCTAATGGAAAGTATGGCATAAATGCGCTTGCCAGAGCCAGTAGAGGCTAATTGTTTAGTCTTTAGGTGTTCTCCTTGAAAAAATGGGCCCAAGTTTGGATAGGACAGAGCCCCGGCAGGCAGTACTACCAACTGGGAGCATTCAGATCTGAATTTGTGAAATTTCCTGATGCATGTGTTGTGTATATTGCGTATATCTAGAAACATCTTTATAAGAATGAATTTTCAAGCTTTATGGTTGCAGAGAAAAATCATTACAGTGTGACCCAGCAGGAGGTGAATGAAGCACACTCTACTTGGGTCAGTCCTAAGAGGTTGGGGTGTTCTAAGCTACAGGTCCTTAAATAATTGCACCATTCCAGGAGCTGGGACTTTCTGACAAGTGATCTTCCAAAGGTTGGGTGTTGTTAGTTGTGGTCTAAGCATAGTCTCATTACTCTGTAATTTACTCCGTAGCTGTTCCTAGACAGATCATATCATATTGGATGAACACAAAACACTCTTGCAATGTAATGTATCAAAATTAATTACCACTGTAATGATGCCATGAGTTGTCTGTATGAACAATCAGTAAATTAAATGTTTCTTTCCCTCCTGTGGGGTTGGAATTTGCAAACGGGACTTGCAGATGTTAAAATACTGTTTTTATCAGAAAGGCTTTCACACCTGCTGACAAAACAAAATAATTTACCTTAAACCAACCTATATGTGTTTACTTCAGATCCCATGTTAGATATGGACATTCAAGAGTTAGCCAGCCTAACCACAAGAGATGGTGACCTGGAGAACTTTGAAAGGCTGTTTTCAAAGCTGAAAGAAATGAAAGGTAATGAACCAGGCGGAGACGTACCGAGCTATATCCCCTATTCTTATCGCTCGAAGGCATGAAAGCCAGTGTGTGAATTGGGAAGATTGTACAAATTTCTATTCTCCTGTCTGAGGTTTTTTATAAGTAGCTGATCTTATCATTAATTTGCCCTTCATCTTGATAGTGCTTTTGAAGGAAGCAGATATTGCTCAGCTGACTGCTATCACACTGATTTTGTCCACCATGAACTAATGCTATACAGTTTTCTATAAACAAACCTTTTTTTTTAGCTCTACAACTGCATGCAAATCTTGCAGTTTAAAGCTACAGATGTTTGAGATGAAATCCAGTGTGCTCAGAAGCGTCAGCTTTCTGGTGTTTGGGAATTGCAATTGCTCTTACTAAATAAGATTCCTTTTTCATGATCTTAAACTACTTTCTTGTAGCCCCCTAAAAACAGCTGCAATAGGCATTTCTCTCCCTGCTCGCTCCTGAGGTTGACAACCTAAGTCATGTTCTTTTTCACAGATAAAGCTGCAACGTTGCCTCATGAACAAAGAAAACTACACGCGGAAAAGGTGAGGTTTTGAAATTGGCACTGAAGTTATTAAAAACGGGGGTTTCCTTTCTAAGCCATAGTTACTTCTCTTGTAGAGTTCCTATGTTAACAGTAGTAAGAACAAACTGCACAGTCCTAGGGAGGACTGTCTGGTATCTCCCAAGAACTGAATAACAAACCCGGAATTTTGAAACGCCAGAAAAAGCTTTCCCCTCTCAAAATTTCTGAAATGAAGGCCCTGCAGTCACTGCGGGTGTAAGCCAGCTTCCACTGAAGTCAATGGGAAAGCCTTGATCTTAAGGAAAATTTAATCATGCCTTAATTAGCACAAGCTTTGTATCACATATGCCTCCCAGGAATTGTAAATTATTGCCTCTGTGTTGCTGGTATTTCTTAACTTCAGAGAGAATTAACATTGTACCTAGAAACATGGTTGCTAGAATTAGCTGCTGCTCAGTTTCTATTTTTTGGATGGTAAATGCAAAATCTTCAGTCATTTGAGGGGAATTTTTCTCCCTTTCCCATCTTTTTTTCCATTGTTAGGTGGCCAAAGCGTTCTGGATGGCAATTGGAGGAGACAGAGATGAAATTGAAGGTCTCTCCTCGGATGAAGAAAACTAAGTTCTTCTGTAGCTGTAAGCAACAGAGCAATCCTAAAAGAGTGAACTTTTCCTGCAGTGAGTGTTTATTGCAAAAAGCCCCATTTAGCTTTAGTTGCTTTCTTTGGTTAAAGGATTCTCTGTATCATTGTAGTAAGTAACACATTCCGCAACACCTAATGGTTAGAGTGGTTTTGTCTGACTGTTCATTTATTCTCTCTCAGAGAATTTTGGAAGGCGATGCATGCACTTAGAGGAAATCATTAGTTTACATTTTTCAAATTAACATTTTTATTGTTTCCTCTTTTGAGTTTAAATAAACAAATTTACTACCAGTTATCTTTCTACATATGGCTGGTGGTTGTTAAGTGACTACTTAATTCTAAACTCAACATTTTAGATGTAGGCCTGTTTGATGTTTTTATGTAGCTTGATAGCTGACTTGCTAGTTAAAACAAACCAGATTTATATGAGCCATGAAGAGAAAGCTGCCGAATTGTACCCTATTGTGGGATGCTATGCCAAGGCTGCAAGGTTAATCCTGCTGAGTGCCAAAGCTATTAAAAATAGCCCACAGGCTTTGAATTCTGTTTGCGTGTGTAAGTATGTGGTCCTTCCCTAGAAATTCAGGTGTTGTGCCACACTCCCTGGGTTTCCATTAGAAACTAAATTTGGGATTAAATGCGAGACAGATTTTTGCTGCTGTTCCAGGGGTGGAGTTCCCTGCCCAAGCCTTCTGCAATGCTTAGCCTCCAAGGCCTAGCAGAATGCACAGACCTTCTGCTGGTGAATTCTGTCCTAAATTCCTAAAGAGAAAAGCTATGATTTCAAAAACCCCACATTGTCACCTGGTGCATTTATTACAGACTTAAGCTCCTGTATGTTCATTAGAAGGTACTGGAGTTACAGTCTCAAATTCCTGCTTCATGGTATCAAGGGTTAAAAAAAATTCCCTTGTCCTTAGATCTAGTATATTGTCATCTTCTGCACAGTCACACAGTCAGACTCACTGGAGAGTATAAACATGCAGGGCACTAGGAAGACAAGAAGGAAGGCATAGGCTGGTGAGGGAGAGAGGAGAAAAGGTAAATGCCATCCTATCTCCTTTTCTACTACAGTCAATTGTGAGATAGTCAGCGGGTCAATGGCAAGAGGTAGCCAACAGATGCCCTGCTGAAGAATCAGGCCTTCTCTAGTGCTTGTCTGACATACCCTATGAAATGGTATGTATTTTCCCCAAGAGCATTTCCTTATCAATCTGAAAATACGCCGTATTAAGCAATCTTACTTAGGAATTTTGAAATTAACTTTTCGAATGTCTGTTTTTTCGTGTCAATAAATTTCGTGAGTCTTGGGAAAGTGGCTTTCCATAAATTATTTGACGGCTTTAAATTTTGAAAGCACTTTCACAGTGGTTCTTGACATTCATTGCCTCTTCTTTTAAGATTAAGCAAAGCTAAAATAATAGGCTTCTTGGAATGCTGTAAATAATTTCGTGGGTAAAAACTGCAGCGTTTTCAACTCTAATAGAACTGAAGCCTTGTTTGTAGTTTGAAAACCATTTCTCATACAAAGACCGAGCAGTAGCTCCACCACAGTAAAATACCTATTTTTAAGAAGAAATGTTCCTTTTACAGGGATACATTCAAGGAACCACACCTACCAGGGCCACCTCTTCCAAACTGAACGATACAAAACAGCTGCCGAGCCTTGCCGTGACTTTGCCATCTCCTCCTTTTTCCCCAGCACAGAGAGCTGTAATAAAGAACTGAAGGTGGTTCCTTCCAAGTAGGGAACAGTTTTACATGTTTGCTTCTTGGTAGCTGAAGACTTTTTTTTTCCTTTCTAAATATTTGTTGTGCAATAGCGATAAACGGCAACAGTGCAGACTAAATTAATTGAACGCAGTGAAGAACGTAATGCACTTGAATACTTTATAAAACCAGTTCTTTATACATGTGATATCTTTAGACATGTGCTATACATGTGACAGTTTATTTAAATTTAATAAAATTATCCAAATTAAAATCAAGTTCTTTGCTGCCTTTTTACAAGGTAGCAGCAGCTAAATTCCCATAAATGATGCCTTATCCCAGGAATCAGAATTACCAGTTGGGGAACACACTTCTTCAGCCTGCTACAAATAGGAGGAGGAGATTTGTATTATTGGAAATACATCCCGGAAAGAGTCCCAGCTCTTGGTGTAGACAGTGACGAGAACAAGCCTTTGAAAGCGCAGGGCAAGTATTGACAGGACAAGCAAGCGTGATTTGATCAGAAGAACAAGGAGTCTGGTACAGTAGGAGGTAGGCCTGATAGCACCGTCCCGCAGGGAGGGCATCCATATTGCTTCTGCCCAAGATTGGCAAAACATTTGCACAGGTAATATTTTGTTACAGACCTTACTAACATACTAAGAACTCTTTCAAACATGTTTTTGTTGCAAATGTGTGTCTTGTTTGTAGATGCAGTCTGTGCTTTAAAAAAGCACAATTCGTCAAGGTAGGAAGCGTGGCTAGGAGATACTAGGAAACAGTTTTAGTGATCCTTAGAGAGTATTGTATTGTATTTTTAAATCAAAGTTTACTTTGCTGGCAGCTTGTTTTTTGTTTTGTGGGTTGTTTCTTTTTCTGAAGAGAGGCTTTGTTTTTGGCTACAGAATTTCTTTACAAAATAGATGTTACAGAAATGACTACAAGGGGCATTAGTGGAAAAGCAAACCTGAAACTTGTTGTGTCTTTTACTTAGTTTCTCTTTGTATGCCACAGCATTGTTTAGCAACAACGAAAGAATTCCCATCTTGGTTTTAAATCGTTATAACGGCTTTGAAGTTGTTAGCTTTCCCTGCTACTGGTACTCCAGTGCTGAACTGGAACCACTGTGGAACAGCTCTGCAGTTAAGTTAATGCACTGTGGCTAGATGTAGCGGCTTTTCCTAGGTAAAGATGGTCACAAGGGCATCTAGATGACACAGTAAATTAATTTTAAGACACAATTCTGAAGGAAAACATGATGATGCTTCAGTGAAAATGGGAAGCATCGGTTTCTGGCCGTGGTCTTTGCAAGAAAGCTCAAAGGAAAGTGATTGCATCTGTGTTAGCAAAGAGCATCAAAAAGGGTTCCAGCAGAACCGGAACTTCCAGGCTGCGGAAGACCTTTAAACTAAACAGAACTGAAGAAATTGCAATTCTGGTGTTAGCTGTGGCACAACTATCACTGAATCTCATGAAAACGCACTACAGCGAGTTAAACTTCCAAGGCTCCATCAGTCTACACATTTCCTGTTTGACTGCCGGTCGTTAGTTTTCCCTGGGGGTCCACAGCGGCCACAAGAGTGGCTGGTGGCAAGAGAGGAACCGAGCGGGGGATGTAATGAAGAACAGAAATGGAGTGTGTGAAAGGCAGTGAAGAAATCAAACAGTACTGAAACGGCGTCTTCCTATTGCTCCACACTGGAGGCAGCTGTTGACCTTACGAGCACACGCACCGTCATCAACGAAGAGCCTCAGAGGAGCAACGCGGTGAGGGGCAGGCTGCGCTCAGTGGCACGGGCTGTGCTCCAGGGAAGGTTTGCAGAACGCCCATCTCCCCCTGCGCCGTCGTTTGCAGCCCACTGCTGTTGGTTTAACCCAGTGGCCTTACATCTGGTTTAGTGCATTTCAGACAGATTTTATCTCTGTGCTCTAAAAGTAACCTCCCTCCTCCAAAATCGGGAGACTAGCTGCTCTGTTGGAAAGTCTGTTCTCCACATGCAGAGATGAGAAGTTGAATCCTTGGTATCTCTCCACCAGCATTTGCTTTGACGGTGGCACTTTCTAATCCAAAGGAGCATTTGCAGAAGTGAGTTAAGAGTTTGGAGGCCTTCGAGGAACACATTCACTAGTCAGCTGCGACTCTGTCTATTACATACATGGCTCAGTCGTCTTTTGCATTCAGGTTTGGTAGTTTTACTAATCAAGCCTTAAATACAGCCAAAACATTCTATAGTTTTCCTGGGCTTAGAAAGCTTTTCATTGCAATACCGCTGCTTCTGACTTGAGAAAAGACACTTCTGTTACGCTGTCTGGTACTGATTTTGTTACCTCTATGAAACAGTCTGTAAGGCTTCTGAGGCCAAGTCCTGTCTTTCTCTGTAGCCAGTTCAGTTTGCATTTCTTTTTGTGATTAAACTAGTTGGTAGGTCATTATAAATAAATTGAGTATAGAATTAAACTGACAAACTCCAAGTATGCCACTGTTTGCTAGTGAACTGCCAACTCTGACTAAAGGCTACAGAAATGTTGTGTTCAATTAATTATTAAAAGGAGAAAATGTTAGTTGTGTACAATAACAGTAATGTGTATCTCAAACAAAAATGGATTACTCTGATAGTGTTTTGGACTTGTGAAAACTTTGTCCTAAACACCCACAATTAGTAGATTTATCGCAAAAAAAAAAGAAAAAGAAAAAAAGTTTATATCCTTTATAAGGTGGGTGCTGTGGTGGTAGACTCTGGTTCCCAGCCTTGGTGAGGCTCACTGTCGCTGCTTTCACCTTCTTCCCTCCCTGCCCTACAGCCGGCCTAATGCAACTGCCTAACGCAAGGGCGCTTCCTGCAGAATTTGGGGAGGAGAAGCCCCTCCCTTGAGCCAGGAGAAAGCGCAGAGATGGGGATGAAACCTCAGTACGGAACCACCCATCCCAAGCGTAAAACTAGAGACTCCCCCTCTCCCCTCGTTTCAGAATAACCAGTCGCTGGTAGGGCATTCCCAGTTCTGGTCTGGCGCGTAGGCGTTACTGTACAAGCCAGGCTGCAGTCCTGAAGGTCTAGGGTGACACTTGCAAGAGGGCTTTCCTGCCAGTACAGATCAACTGCTTGTTACCCAACTTTTGCCCGAACTGAAACCCCTGTGGAATGTCGATTCACCTTTTTTTTTTTTTTGGCTATGGCTTTGAGATTTTTCATTTATTATCGAACCTGTATTTTGCTTCAGCTTCCCATCTTCAGTGCAGATGAGACGACTGTCAAACTGAAATCCATGATCTATTCAGGTGACAACTAGCAGAACTCGCAGCTCAGAGCTGATATACTACATCACACTTGAGTTTTGGCAACCCCAGTACAAAACCTGGACGAGACCCTTTTATTACCACATTGTTGGAAAGCTGAGTGGAAAAAGTATTCTCGTAAATCCTCTGTCAGGAAAAAAGAAAAAACAAAAAAAAAAATCTGAATTTCAGTAAAACCCTAGGAGGAACGTTAGGAGTTTACAGAATTAGATCACAGTGTGCCTTGGCTTAGTAATGCTATTTGGAGAATGCCCTCTCTGAGGCCAGCTGAATGCCAGCGTATATGTATTTTTTTCCCCCCAGTATGGCACCTGACCCCAGTACCTGCCTTCTATTGAAACAGCTGCTTCGCTGGACATTTCATGGCCCAGAGTGACCTCTAGGCGCAGTCCCACTAAGGACAACAGCGGCAGGGACACATCCATGGCATCCAGTTCTCTACAGCTGACCGGGGTGGGTGCGAAAGACTCCATCACCCTGCAGCCACCACCATTCAAGCTCGGCTGCTGTTTAATTTCTGACTATAGCGATTGCCTCCTTGAGTGGCAGGGAGGAGCAGTGCCATCACTGCAAAGAGAGACCATAGACTCGAGAAGCCTATTATAACAAGGAGTAATAGCCAAAAATACAGCCTGGGAGATTAAGATGGGAAAACTTTTCCACTAGAACACAATGCAGCCTGGGGAGGAGGTGGGTAGAATCTCTGTTCTTTAAGATTTTTCTTCAGGATTTATCTGGACAAAAGCCCAGCTGACCTGATCTAGTGTTGGCAACAGTCTTGGATCAAGCACGAGGTCAGACTAGAGACCTGCAGTAGTCTCTTCCAACCATCATTTCTCTGATTTGATGAAACAGTGGGGCACTTTTAAACCGGGTCTGAGAAAAGTCATGTTTTTCAGTAAGGTAACACACTGACTGGCTGAATGCTACTGAGCTGGACCAGAACATGCGCTGTTCCAAGAGCATTAGCTTAACACCTTATCACCAACGCGCTACGGACTGGAGACCACATTTATGCCCGTTCACCTGCCTTCCTCTGTTCTGCAGGAGCGAACAACTGAGAGGCTTAACACATGTCTTCAGCACGGGACTTCAATTCCTCAACACAGAGACATCAGAGGTATTTTAGGGTCTGCCTCATGGCAAGACGCTGAGGACAAAGCAGTAAACCCTCCGCTGCCGCTCCTACACTTCTGATAATGGAGTTTCCTAATTCACAGCCATAAGGTGAAAATACAGCTACAGTATACCGGGCAAAGAGTGAAAGTTTAGCTACGTCTGACTTTTCCAGCAGTTCAACAATAAATCCTTTGAGTCACAGTGCTCCACTTCTACTCGCCTTTGTATCCTGTTAGTTAAAAGAACCAGTTGCAATTTTAAAATTATTTTTTATATCTGGCTTTAAATTCTTGAACAAACCTGCCCAAACTGTAAAAAGAATGAAGATCTTACCTGTAACTGAGATCTCGTACGAATTACTGGGAACAACCTTCATTATACATACCTAAAGACGCTGCTGCCTCTGAATTACCTGTGGTTTCAAAACTCCAAATGCTTCCAGTTTATGTCCTTAAATGTATTTTTTACAATATCCTTATTTTCTCATGAGCCTCAGTTTTAAAATCAAAGTTTATTAAAATGTCAAAAATAGAACTTACAGTTTCACATACGAAATAAGAGGGCATACATAGTACAGGCCTTTAGTAACAAAATAGGTGAATGATGCTTAACAAGCTAAAGCAGGTAGGTGACACCACCGGTCATTAACATACAACCTCAGGTTAAGAAAATCTAAACACTAATGCAAACATGCTCGTACATATCTATCGAAGGGGGAATAGTTCAATCAAGCGTGAGGAAAGTAGGCTGCCTCCATTGGGAGAGTGAACTAGATGCATCTCAGCAGCAGAGACTGGTGCAGACTCCTCTAGTATCCACGTACTGGAGGAAACGTAAGATGAACCAAAACCTTTATGGAGTAATACGTTATTGTCTTTTTAAAGCCTCATAAATCTGAAAAGACCTGAAGAGCACAATTCAAGGGCCCATCTGGGAACCTGACTTGTCGCTAAAAGATAAAACAGCAACTCGGGCAAAGGCTCCTGCTGGAAAAGTCCTTGTTCTGTTCTATTCACCAGGGTTTGTTGCTCAGTTCTGAGGCGAGTCTCTTGTTCTCACATCAGTAACTGCCTAATTTCTAGCAATCATCAGAAAGGAACGTATAAAAGATTTAATACTCTGAGTCCTTAATTGCCCTTTCTGTTAAAAATTAAATATTTGATTCATCTGAATATTCAAGAAAGACAACATAAATACAAAAGCATGTACATAATAAAAAACATATACTGAATTTCTTAACCATACCGCTCAACCAACTACTATATAGTGACTAATTATTTCTCATTCTAGCTTACCAGCTTATTTGTGAAATTCCATTCCTCCTACCTATCCAGTACCTTAGAGAACTAGGAAGGCTCACAGGTGTTTTGTGATATGGCTGAAGTCCTTCACTGAGCTGTGTTCTTCTTGCTCCTTGTGCTTTTTCCAGTTAGTAAGTAGCACAAGGCAACGATGTCAATACTTGCTGCTTGAGATGGAGTCCTGAATATTCTTCACCCTGCAAAGGAGTCCTCTGCATGGTTCAAACTATGCTGATCCTTAAGGGGAGAGGAAACTAATTTATTTAACTCTTTCTCAAAGGTTACCCCCGGCCTTTTCATGGCACATACAGGTAGCCAGAGCTTTGGGGAAATTTATTATGATTAGATTTCTCCATCTTTGTACATACGCATGCCGATTCCTGGCGATTAAATCAAATGGACAGACAGCACTGGATTACTTCTGAGACAAGCTTAACACAAAATACAAACTGCAATTCAGTTCAATACATTAATAATAATAAAAAAAAATCACCACAGTCATTTAAAACCACAAGGCCATCAATGTCATCTGCCAGCAGCCAGGCCCTTGTGTATGGCTACACCAATTAAAAAGAGTCAAAGTTCCTGCTAGTGACTCTCTACTAGTAACAAAAATGTATGAAATCCTGTAAAACTAGCCAAGACTACCATTAAATGAGAAGATATTCCAGTACAGATATGTAATCTAAGCTAGGGCATGGTTGATTGCATACATTTGTGCTACATATCAAAGCTACTTTAATAAAGTTTTAGAAAAAAGTAAAACCAAGAAGGCGGCACGTGCACCTCTGGGGCACTGCTGCCTACAAAAATCTACAGCCGAACGCTACCTCTTCCCTTTCGTTAGTGTCCACATGAATGGCGTGATTAAGCACGTTTCAGATCTGACGGGGGAATTACCTTTCATCTGTACAATCCACGTCAACTGTGCAACATAAAAGGAAACTCGGCCGTAACGTCCCTTGGATCACACCCCTTCCCCAACCTTTATCTTTTCATTTGTTGCATGGTACAGGACTTTCCATTTGACTTTATAAGGTAACTTTAGAAACCGTGAAGCTTTTATGAATTAGTGAGAAGGCAAACAAAGGGGAGGAGAGGAAATTAATACTTTAGTGGAGATAATCTTCTCAATTTTATCTAACTATACTGCTAGACCAGCTTACGTTTTCCATTTGAAGTCATTTTACTTAAGGGATGATGAGATGAGATGAACCAAAGTTTTTATGCATCATCTGAATCCTGTTTTTCAAAAGGCATCTATTAATAACGGTTAGCAATTCATTACCCTTTATCAAGAAGAAGACAGAAGTCTGGTTCCTAGCGGAAATCCAGGTCCAATTCTTGGTTTGGCTGAGGAGGCGATTCTGTGTGCAAACTTCATATTAAAGTTAGGGTTTATTCCAGCTTGTAGCCTCTGGGTCAGGCCAGGTTCCTGCACGCACCGTCACGTGTAATGAAAACTCTGACACTGGAATTTAAGATGTCATTTTTTGTTGCTAATGCGTAAGGTACCACAGAGTCCAACTTCCTCCACGATCATGTGGGCAATGAAAACAGTTTGTTCACTAAAATAAGCAAACATGACTTAAAGACACTCAGGGAGGAAACCTGGGGCCATTTTACATAGCAGATTTTTTTTCCCTCTCTCACTAAAACAGCAAGTCAAATACTTCCACAAAAGTCAGGATAAATTTTTGTTTGCAACTATGTTAGAAACCTGTATCTGAAAGTATATGCCAAATCAACCCACAATGACAGACAGACCTACTTTTAAAGTGGCTAGAAAATACTATTTTATACAGATGCTCTTATTGCACAAGTCCATGCAATCAGAGATTTAACTAAAATTAGACACATTGCAAAAACTAAAGAACCCCCCTAAAAATCCTAGAAAGCCTCCAGCGCTATGATACAAGCCGTGTTGCACAGTGAAAGCTCCAGTCAAAATGCTGCAAGAGGATATTCAAAAGTGCCTGTATCGTTCAGGCGCACAACCACCGCTGACAGCCTTCCTCAGAATTTAGATTTCATATGCAAAATGTCATTTCTTGTTTCTGGAAGAAAACTCTCCTCTAAAGCATCCCTTCCTTTGCCTGGTAAAACAAACACCAGCAACGAGCCTCTCGGATCGTCTCTTCCTGTGTCCACCGAACAAGGGGCGCCTCGTACCCTGTCTTGCCGATGCCTCAGGTCCAAAAGTGTTGTTTTTATGCAAACCAGGTGGTGGGGTTGATAAACAGAGTGGTCTCAAAGGAACAAGCGCATCGGCAAAGCCTCTCTCTACAGACAGGCAGGTACATGGAAATTCCTGGTAAGCGTTTGAAATGCCATTACAAGTCAGTACCCCGTTACGGGACCCGGGCGCTCTGAAGCTGCAAACCTGAACCCGGCACGCAGGGAAACTTCCTCTGAACTCAGTGGGGCCACTCGCGTTCGCATCTGGGAGCACAAAAGTTTGCAGGACTAAAGCCTTAAGACAAACCATTGTCAAGTCCATCCGAGTCTGTCCTTCCCAGAGCCAGATCTAGCTTGTGTGTTTGTCTTTCGTATATGAAAAAAAAAAATAAAGAACAAAAGATTTCCATAGGAACACCATTATCACTTTCTCCCCTCCCCCTTCTAATATTTTGGCACAAACGCATATGATATTCAATGCGGATATAAAGAAACAGATAATTGGATAGCACTGACAGAGTTATGGGACGTATTTGGCAAATTTGAACCATAAAAAACAAGTGCTAAGGGTTTTTTTCCAGTTGTGGAAGTTGTTTGCCATGACAGTTGCTGCAGGGAAAAAAAATATTAAACAGTCTGGAGCATGTATGTTTAAAATGAACATTTTATAATACAAGTAAATACACACTATCCCAATTTCTCCAGGCAAAAACACATCTCAGAGCATTTTAATCAGCTGAAATAAGTTTTAAACAGGGTTTTTGTGTCTGAGATGTCCTGGTTCATGCGCAGTCACATGTGACGGCAAGGGATAACCTATTAAATTGCATATTCCGAAAATGGCAGCAAGAGCCTGTTCACTTCCATCACTAGAGCAGACCTGGACACTGAATTCACTAAGCCTCTAAGACTTCAGAAGTGGCAGATACCATTCAACATACTGAGAAAAATAGAATACAAACTTTCTGTAGTTAATGCAAATAGACTGCACAATAACGAAGGCTTAACTTAGCCAGCCAGAGCTCCCCACGTGACAAATGTCTGTCTGTGAGCAGCTCAAGTCAAAAGTCACTGCAGCAGTATCAGAAGGAGCCTTAAGTTTGGCCTTTTGCTTCATGTCAATCCAGTCTGAGACCATCGGGGTATCAGCTGCATCCCTCAGGCATGAAGCAAGACTCTGCCTCCTTGTTAGTAGTCCGGCGTGGGAAATTCATTCCTTTTGGGAACGTTACTGGGGGAATTAGTTCTTGTGTGTGCTTTAAATGCTTCCTTTTCCCCCTACTGCTGCCATCCCAGGGAGGACAGGTGTGGATCAGGTAGGTGGTGACAGGAATGCACGAGCAAGAGTCATCCCAAAGTCCCACGGTATCTGGCTTTTCAGAGATGCTGCATGACACGAGCCCAGAGTTGTGTGAGGCAAACGGAAAGTTTCCTCCGAGCCGTCAGTGGCTCCTGCGTGCTCACAACAGTGCGGAGCGAGCGGCCAGACAGGCACGACATGGCTGGAGGCAGAGCACTGGCTTCTCTCCGTTGAAACAAAGTCCAGTTTTTTATCATGATAAACTTCAGCTTCAAATTCTAACTGCAATGGCCCATAGCATTGTAACCAAAGTGCTAACAGTTTCAGTGGAAGTGGCTTAAATGGGTATTTAGTTTAAAAAACAAAACAAAACAAAGAAAACCCACCTTTTTTTTTTTTAAGCAGATTATTTTCTCGTCACTTCAATAACTGGGAATTTGTTTACTATGCACTATGCATTTTGCTAAGGGTTAAGCCAATTCCATTTTCCAGAGTCTTTGTTCCCCCCACCCACCCCCAGGAGATGTTTCCTTAGGAGACACTGGAACAACGAATACTTGGGGAGCCCATTTGTGTAAGGACCTTGTCTAGCCACTGCAAAGGACCATTAAGATGCAGTTCAATCCAGCAGGGAGTACTGGTCACAGTCTGCCGCCTACAAGAAAGAAGGGGTTGGGGGCGAAGAGAAGGAAAAAAAAGAACATAAATGTGACTTACAAAACTTTACAAACGTGAAAAGGTTTTACAGCTACTGAAGCATTCTTTCCTGCTTAGACAATAGTCTTGCATGTGGGGCCAAAGGAATGTCTCTCCTCTATAACACGCTTTTGGCCTATGCTGCCAACTTCTTTTAAAAACCCTACCTTTTCTCTTTACATTTCTTATGATCCCAAAGGAGCAACTCACCATATAACCTATTTACTACTCAAATTCCTGAAAACAGGCAGCATCCGATTCCCTGAAGAGAAAGGAAGGTGTTTATCTAAGCAAAATTCTTCAGTTTTATTTTGCAGACCTTGCCTCTCCTAATTAGATAGCAATGTAAGCAGTCTACCAAATATGTTAAATTTCTCTATGTATAAGACAGGGGTATTCTCTTTCTACAGTTTCTTTAGGTTTTAGCGGAATGTGGAAGTGATGGAGAGAGATCACCACTCAGCCATTCAGACTCCCTCCTGCAGCCCCGCGGAGCCCTCTCCCTTCTGCGGCCAGAGCTGCTGCTGAGCATCCTTTTTGCACAGCTTGGGAGGGTGCGCTGGAGGTTTGAACCCTACACTACACGTGCTGTGTATGGGGCGCTCCCACAGATTTGCATTTTATCAGCTGCCTCAGAAGAAACAGAAATGCTACAGAGTGTAAGAAGTTGCAAAACCTATCAGAGAAGCAGAAACATGGTATTAAACCATGTGTTTTAAAATCCCTCAAGAGTTGGCGGCTGTGGCCTGAGAGTAGAGGGGGATGCCTTGCTGGGTCAGCACACCATGCTTTTACTTTCCCCTGCCACGAAGCACCTTCCCCCTCTCCTATCTGCCTCCGTTATTCTCCCTGAGGCCAGATCCCACGGAGTGTCTCCAGATGGTAAAGCAGGAAGAGATGGGGAGGAAAGGAAGGGAAGGGAGGGCAAGGCACAGGGCAAGGGGCTCTCCCTCCTCTGCCGAGGGATGGCCTAAGTCTTGTTCCAGGCAGAGAGGCAGGGACAGCTGCTGTGGAGGACAAGCATTACAAAGGCAGAGGAATAGCCTGGAAACAGCCTTGTTTTACACCCTCATTTCCCACAGAAGCTGTCCTTGGAATCTCGTCTGTGGGAGGGAGAAGCCAAAGTCTGCGGGGCCCAGAGAGAAACTGCTGCTGAAAAGGGGACCCTCTGCTCCGTGGGGCTGCCCTGCACTCCCGCTGCCATCCCTGCCCCTTCAGGACAGGGCAGAGGAGCAGGACTCCAGGGTACGGCTCTGCAAGGCTTTGCCCAAGGGCTGTAACCCGTTCTGTTCATGAATCTGTATCTCTCATCCTTTGAACTGAAAATGGAAGCAGCTCCTTGAAGGCACCGCACCCATTCCCAGCTCAGGTGCAGCTGACCGGAGCTGGCAGGCCAGGCGATGCCCCAAGAGTGGGTGTATGGGCAGGGCTTGTCCTATACAGCGACGTGTTTTGCATTAAAGGGTGTCTCGTGAACTGTTTGGGCAGGAGGACTGCAGGACAGGGAGAGCAGAGCACCCCTTGCTCTGTCAGCTTCAGTGAAGCATACAAACTTCTCGGGTCCCAGGAAAAACTAGTCTCCCTGAACTTAACACAGAGCATTCCCCTTTGCTGCCTGAAACCAGCCTAACACGGAGCAGTCCAACAACTGTCCCGGCAACACTGTACAAAAACCCGCTACCCGTGGGGCTGCCGCACTTCTGCCCTCTGCAAATCTATCACGGCAAACTTCATTCTGCCTTCCCACCTAGATGACCAACACATTGGCTCCAGCCTTTCAGAAAGGCAAACCCCCAAAGCTCTCCATGCCTTCAGCTTAGTCCACCGGGCTGTCGCTGGACAGAAGAGAACCTCTGTATCACAGGCTGCTTATGCAATTGGCTTCTCCCCCCTTCCCTCCACCAAATTCCTGGCACACAAGAGCACTAAACACCCCACCAATTAGACTGCTCAAAAGACTAAGCAGCTGAACCAGAAATCACTGGAACAGTGCTCTGGGTGCAGCTTCCACAATAACATTTTCATATATGAATCAGTTCGACAAATAAACGTGCTCTGACAAAGGCAATCAGATGTAGTATTTTGTGGCAAGGAAATGAAGGAGCAAAAGAGCAGCTTCGGCGCAGTCAGCGTGAGCGTAGGGTTTCACTGACTACAAAACTCTAATGAGATAGCTGACTTTCCGTAAGTCATGCTCATCTGGATTTCATTACGAGCCATGGCTGTGAGCCAGGGCTGAAATGCTCTGGCCTGGGTGCAGGACCATTTCAAAACAAAATGGACTCCAAACATCTGGAGAAATGAAGAAAGTGGGAGAGTAATGTGCAGGGCCCAGGCTCCAGCTGATACTATGGCATCTCCCCCGTCTGCTGCAGGCAGCTGTGCAAGGGGAGCATCGGCAGACAGCCTTGCTGCTCCAGGAGGCAGGGACTGCCCCCAGATTTTCAAATAAGGCCACAGATTTAAAGGGTAAAACAGTCAAGTAAGTATTTCAAAATCACATTTGGCTTAAATCCTTGCCAGCTTTCTCTCATAAAACGACATTCATTTTCCGACGAATTTCGTCTCCCCTACTTGTACTATTAAACACTGATTTCACTCCCTTTGCTACTTAACGGACATTTGCTTGGTAATGCAGCGGAGTGACAGCAACACAAGCTATGGAGTCCTACGTCCCTCACACTGCCTCCACTGTCCCTGTGTTGTCAGAATAACGATATCGTCAATTCCAAATGCCAGATCCTACTGCACCTCCTTTTTTATCTTCAATATTCACTGGGAAAAATAATAACCCTGTTTCTCTCACTGCCTCCGGTCACATTTAAGCAACTGCCCTGTGACAAGCACTAAGGAAAGGATGAGGAGATTTAACTATAATTTTACAGCAACTTTAACAGTTCTTCCAAATGTAAATTTTCAAGCCGACGTGCTTTTATTTTAATCCCATTAGTCCCTGGTAAAAGAAGCATCAAACCCAACCCCTATCTATTAGGAAGCATTCACACTGATAACAGTGTAGTTGTAAGACACTCAAACTATCAAATATACATCTAATTTAAAAAAAAAAAAAATAGTTCCTACACAGGCCGTCTGGATTTGTCTACTGTGCTTCAGGTAAAGCTCTTGGTTCGTACAACGCTGTGACCAACTGCACATGGTCTTCCACATATATCACATGATGTATGTTTTACACGGATAGGATGGGAAGAACAAGAGATGAGATCAACACATTCTCAACAGCTACAACCTATCTGCATTACTGAAGAGACGCTCTGCTCATTCCCCCCATCTTAAACGCTGAGTAAAGCAGCTTTGCAGAACACTATCCTAGGCTGTGAAATGCAGGAGCGGCAATGGCAAGCACAAGCATACCACAAAGTTTCATTCAAAAGGCCTGACCTGTATTCTGCTCCCCATCCCTTGACAAAGCTCATTCGAATTGTGCACATTCTGGTCAGCTGATACACAGCTTCGAAGCCCTGATTTACAGACTGAGCCAAGAGAGCGGCGAATTCCTGGTTGTTAAAAATCTTCAAGTTACATCCTGTGAAAAAAGAACATGACAAGAACAAGGCATTAGCTTAACTAGACTAAGAAATCCATTTCTTTCTGAGGATGGAAAGACACTCAATGCTGCTTTCCCATGTCCTCAGACCATGTGATACTATATACAGATTGTTTAAACACAGCATTTCAGAAAAGGAATCGAGGTTGCCACATTTCCACAACTCATATGCTAAGAAGGAAGAACCATGTTACAGGACAGAGAACGATGGATGCTAGTGCCCACACAGCATATTGCGATCTACAAGACCAGACATGGGATCCTCATGTGGAACCTCCTCCTATCTCCTTTACAATCATTTCCCTCATATTGTAACTTAAAAGCCTGACTATGACCGTAACACTTAACAACGGCAATCACTACAGGGCCTGAAAGAAAGGAATGCACAGGCTAAAAATAGGAACTCACTGGTGTTGGATTTATATGGTGTCCATCGGCAGAAGTAATGGAGAAGTTCTGAAGTGAAATCACTCCGGCAAGCCAGAAACCAGTTATCAGGGTTAAAAAGGCTGGTAGCAAAGCTGCTTCTTAAATGTAACTATCACGCACCGAAGAATTTTCCTTTAAAACTGGAGTTTTCCCCCAATGTTTAGTCCCAGCTAAAAGACTGGGAATAACTTATTCAACTGTTTTTAGGTGATAACCGTGAAATGTAACAACATCCTTCATAGTTTAAATAAATAAATAAATAAATAAACAAACAACTCTTAAAAAAAGTGTCACTATGCTTGCTTTCTCCCAGATAACCAGAAACAAGTTAAACTCTGAAACCTGGCATGCAACTAATGCTCATTTGGGATTACATATGAGCCAAGTCTGAAAAACAACCATTTGGACTGTGATGAATTGTATTTTTCTAAAATCACTTCTGAGCCTGCTCTCTTGGGCTGGACTCATACCGTCATCTGTTTTGGGCCGAACTGCATATAGCAAAGCGTAACCGCATGCAACAGCTCAGCAGCTGCAGAAACAACTACCCATTTTTGTGACCATAAAAGAGCACAGCCCAAGAGCCATGTATCTTACAGACAGTTTGAAGGGAAGCTGTGTCAGGCATATTGCAGTCTAAGGGGGGGAAATAAGAAGGGTGAGAGCATCAGGGCCAGGCTGAGCACAGAGAAAGAGCTATGGCAAAGAAAGCAAAAAACTTGATCAGGATCAGACTGCCAAGCTGTTCAGACTTCGCGACTGGATGGGAACAGGTCTCTCCACGACTGTGCCTGGGAGGAGTGGGTACGACTTGATCTTGTCAACACGGGAATGAAGAAACTGCTTCAAACCCAGCAAAGATTTGAAGATGAGTCTGAGAAGGCGGCCAAAGACTGTGGCAAAAGTGGGGAGAGCTGGAGTCCAAAAAATGTGCCTTAGATGAATCTACAGCAGAAATGTGGGTTGCTTATGTCTTCAGATGTTGACTCCAGCTGGGGTGGACTCTTGTGATGTGGCTGGAGAATTAAGTCATGTTTGCAACACTGGCAGCTGCTTCCTAAGCATCTAAGAAAGGAAACCCGTTAAGATGGGCCAAAGCTTGCAGTGTATGGATCTCTTTTCAAATGAAAGACAATCTTTATTCAAATATTTCTAAAAAAAGTTCATTTTTTAAATACATACATACTTTTAACTGTAAAAAAATTAGCTTTTGTAAACCTAGCTAAATAGCTAAATTCCCTTTCGAATGACATCCTCTCATCCTAGCTCTTTTGCATGTATCTAACAAAAAAGTATTTTCTTCCTAGACAGATGCAATAAATTCTTTTGTAATCTTTCACCATACTTTAGACCTATGTTTGCTGTAACCAGAACAACAAGGTGCCTGCAAATGCAATTTCCCTAGAATAAAACTAATTCAAAAAGCAGGGGAGGGGGGAAGTATTATTAAATGCAATTTCCCTAAAAAAAAACTAATGCACAAAGGGGGGGGGGGGGAAGTCTTATTACAGAACAGAAAAAAGTAACAAATCTATTATGGGTGAATCTAAATTATGAAAAATTTCCTCCGTTATATTCTTTTACTTAAAGGTACAAACAAAATTATAAACATGACTATCAGATAATTACAATATAATAATGGACTGATAAAACACTGCACGGAACAAGTGGCAGATTCTGCTCTTAGTTCTGCTTAGATACTGAAGTACTGTTTCTTCCTACTTGTATGAATGTAGTGCAAACAATTGTTGGAGCATAGAACAGATTGTTGTAGCATACAACAATTGTTGTAGCCTCCTTTATCAGTACCTTCATCCTATACGCTACAAAAAATGCCCTGCTCAAGTTGTCAAGTTGCTTATAATAGGGTTCAAGTTTCTGATAGTTGTCAAGAACGGAGGTCAGCAAATCCATGCCTACCTTGACAGAGAGCCCGCTTTCCACAGCAAGTCCCCGTCTGCAAAAGGTGAAGCCTGCATAGGATCACAGATAAGGCATATTTCCTTACCTGGTGGAATCTTGCAAACTGTTGCTGGGTGCCAGCCGTAGCGTTGGTTGCAGTTGGGAGACTGGACAAAAATGGCACTGTCACTAAGGCACTCGGCAAACACCTCACCACCAATGTAGTAGAGTCTTACTCCTCTTCCTAGGAAACACATGGCACAGTTTTGGTTTAGCTTAGAACAATCATCTGCAAAATCTGCAAGGAGAGCTCGTAGAGACGTAGACAACCTCTGCATGAGACAGCTCTCAAAAAGCAGATAAACTATGAATGATGGAAAATGAAAACCACCTCTTTTGGCCCGCTGGGTAATCCCATTAGGGAGCAATAAATGTGCTCGGTGAGCGAGTTAAGCTGAGGAAGGCAGGAGGACCAATTTATAAAGTCAGAATTGCACTCTCCGGCCCCATTGTCAATCACAGCCTAGACTGCATAAATTTACCACCTCGCAGCCTGCTTACTCCAAACATACATGTCTCTGATATTTTCCATATGAATGTTCTATCAGCTAACATATGGTTTTCAACCTTTTCTGAAAGTCATCGCAGCTGGATACAACTGTTTGTTTATTTACTTAGCGATTTAGAATTAAATTATACAATGTTTTCAAATCATCGCCTTTTGTTTGAGATTACATAGTATACAAGGACAAACATACATTTCCCATAGGGATTTACACAAATTATAAAAATCGCAGTTAATAAAGAAACAAATTTCAGGAATACATCTTTGTTGCTCAAATAAACATTTGCTGTGGTCTTACATTCCTATTTGAATATCTTGCTTTCATTCTTCCATAGAGCATAAGGAGCCTGCTGAATTTGAAGACTGATTTCTGAATCTTGGTGGGTTTTTTGGGGTTGGGGTTTTTTTGGTGCTAGAAATCATAGTAAGGAAGGAGTGTCCTGTATGAAGTTTACTGCTCAAGAAAGGGTATAAAGGGGAGCAAAATCAGGACAAAAAGCAGGTCCATTTTTGATAGAAGTCAGCAGAAAACACAGCAAAGCAGAAGCAATTTTGCCTTTTATTAAAATTGCATAAATCTGGGATATTCTGTTTAGTGCAAGTTTAACTAAAAAAAAAAAAAAAATTTTGAATGTTACCTTGCAGTATAAGCAGGAAAAGTGGAAATTGAGATGAAAATCAAGGAACTAAGTTTCCATTTATAAAAGAACAGTCAGAAAATAAAATAGTGCAGGAGGGAACAGGAATACACAAGATTATCACTAACATCCATCCAAATATAGTTCAGAAGAGTGTGTGTAAAAGTTTAAATTCTGTTTCTCTCTATGACATGCAGCAATTTTAGTGTTCCTCAGTGCATTTTTTTTTTATACTTTTATGAAAAAATGCAATTAGTGTTCCTTTATGGAAGATTTGCCTGCTAAAACACCATGGATAATCAAACATAGCAGTGTTCTAAAACTGACCAAGCTGCATGCCGATTAGGTGAATAAAAAGCTTTACATGCATGTCTCCACTTCCCACCTTGAAAGACACTGACTAAAACAAGGAAATAGAAGTTACCAATGTGTCGTCTTGTGAGTTCCACTGACGTATTTCTGTTCACGTTAGACAATAAACCAAGGCAGAAGCGTTCAGAATTAGATGGGTCAGTGAAACCATCCACGGTCATAGAGGGCTGAGAGGCATGGAAAGTCTCTCCCACTCGCTGGTTGAGTTCATAGTAGGATATCGAGCACCAGAAAGCCGGCTCGCAGTAGGTAACAGGCTGCAGATCTGCACAAAATAAAAAGCAAAATGAATCACAGGCCCTCAGGAGGGATGGGGGTGTGTGTGGAAAAAAGCGACCGTTTGAAATATTGTTCTGCTTCATTCCTTGGGCTCACTTTAACCATCAAACTTTAATTACTTGACAGATTTTAATGGACCACAGCTAGAAAGTTACATCATCCCTGAAGCTTTTGGCACATGGAACAATCACAAATAGTCAAAGATAGTTGTCACTTAGCAAGTGGGGTGTCACTTAACCATCTTCATACTTGGAGAAAATTTAAAAAATAAACTTAGCTTTACTATGAAACGTGGGATCACTTTTAGGTAGCCAGTACCCTAAAAGGAGAAAAGAAAAGGAGAGAAAAGGAAGAAACAGAAAACCTTAGAAAAAGCAGACCACAAACCTGCTTTCAGTAACACAGGTCTCCAGAACCCTAACGCTGTGCACTTACACCAAGTAGCCAGCAAGTCCAACTTGCGTTCTTACCAACTGTTACGATCTCTCTGGCATTGATGAAACCAGTAGAGTTGTCTGCAATACGCACCAAATTGTATGCAATACTGGCATCAAAGTAATTTAAAAATTAGATCCTTTCTTCCAGTCCATTTGATCTCAAATTTTCAAAAGCAAATCCCCAATAGATGATGACACATCTCTTATTGGGGTTATGGTTTGACTCAGCCTGTGGACCGAAGCGAAAGGACTGAAGTTCATGAGCAGACTGAGGCCGAGGCAGTCTCAGGAAGACAATACTTCATACGCATGAAAGGTGGGACATTCAAATGGCATCGAATGATTTAACTGCTCCCACTGAAGCCAGTGAGATTTCACCAGAGGAAGGCTCAAATCAAATATTTTTGGAAATACTGCACTAGATGATGCCCAGTCCTGCTGTAAGCCAAGAATCTGCTGAGCAGAGGAAGTGGAAAACATAGCTAATTGATAAGTGCTCTATTCTCCACATTCAGTGCAAGAAATAAAAGCAAGGGAAGAATTCCCTCCAGTCCTCCCCTCAATTTATCACTTCATCCCCATTCAAATGGCACTTACAAGCAGAACAGAGCAACTTCCCATATGGTCAAAGAGTTAACATCAAGCAGCAAAAACCAGCTTTTTCCATAGGCTTTCCCATCTGTTGTTCCTGCAAGGCTCAGGCGAATCTGGGGCTTAAGAGATCAGCTCCAAAAAATCAAAGACAGGTTTTTACCATCGCAGCCTCCGCTCACACTGAAGAGAGCGTCTCTACTGAGGTTTGAGAGCCATTTCTCTTCTGGTACCTGCTGTTACTCCGTAACTTTTAGAAACGGGTTGAAGCAGCCTGGCTTCAGCCAAAAGACATGCTGGTTTCCTCTCCATTAGTGTGGTGTATGAGTTCCCAAAGTAGCTAATAATCAGAAAAAACTTTGGTTTCTGCTTTGTTACAAGCTTTGCTGACAGCAAATAAGGCACTGAATAAAAGTGCATCTGGGGATCTCTAATCCTTAGCCGATCTTCAAAGTTTGTGAATTCTGGAGCTTATATCCATTCCCAGCTTCTTTCACAGTCTCTCTCTTTCCTTAATTATATAATCCAAAAGAAAAACGCTCTATCACAAGCAAAGCCCAGTGTTCCTGCTCTCCTCCACACATTCACACCCACAAAAGGAAAAGCATATCTTCCTCTTACAGAAAAGGACATAATGCTCAAAGCGAAAGCTAACAGAAGGCAGCTCAACAGAACAGGGTTCGCTACATCAATTTAAGGGCACACCTGCTGTTTCTTCACATTTTAAACAATTTTATAGCTTAAAGCAAGCCCCTCTCCTGACATGCACAGATGATATTGAACACATCCAGGAGTCACACAAGTTCACTGTCTCTGCCTTTTTCTCTTGTATGACATATTTGGTTGTCCCACTGGAAACTGCCACATCAGGCATACAGGCATATTTCTCCAGTACCAGCCTCAGTTCACCAATTAACAGTCGTGGCCTGCAGCAGTAATCTGTACACATTGTAACTGACTCCAGTGCAATTTGTATAGAGGTACAGCAAATACCAGCACTAATCAAAGTCTCTTAAGGTGTGTCCACCCACTTAAGAAAACAGATAGTGTTCCACAGGACTGTGTTCTTATTCCACAGCAAGTGCCTTTCTAATTGAAAGGCTGCTCAGCTCCAGAAAAATCAAATCAACTTTTGTTGATCCTTAAGTAATGTCTTCAGATTGGTACTATTCAAGTTATAAAAACACTGAAGCCTGTGTTGCTCTCTATGGTTTCGTGGTCCTTTCCTTCAGAAACCACCTCCGCTTGGTTGCGACTCAAGGGAACAGCGGATTCCCCACTGAAGAATGTACGGATATTTTATTTCCAGCTTATTTGCAACTTGAGGAAAGACACAAACCAACAAATCCTATTTTGAAGAAAAACCTGTCTCTAAAAAATGCAGCCAAGCTTTTAATGATGCTGCTTTCTCCTGTGATTTGTGGTCTTAGGCTTCAGCTTAAGCTGTCGTGGGATGGGCAAGTTTCCTCTTGTGTTAGAGCTGTCCTGAATATTCATTTTCAATTTATGATTTACTGTTTGAGGAAAAGCAAGAGAATGTAGCTCTGCTAAAGCCAAAGAATCCTGAGGGGGTACACAATCAACTAAAACATGATGCATTAAAACCAAGCAAATCCTGCCTGAATCGTCCCCATACAATTTCAACCTCGACTCACTACAGCTTTGCTTTCACAAGTGTCCACTGAGTATCGGGATGCTACCCATATTGCATCTTCCCTACAAGATGAAAGTACTATCTGTTCAGCTGCAGAGGAAAAAAAATCTGCTGGCTGCTTTGCACACTCTACAGTGCGTGCTCTAAGCATAAGAGTGGTTGTTACCCTAGTTTCAGTTAATGCGTTTGATACACAATGTATATCAGAAGTTACTGATACATGTTATCCAACTGCATTAGTTGCAGCTACATCACTTGTAACTCCCTCCTCAGAAAGGAAAAGATAAGTAGGTGTGCACACTCCCTTCCCCTCTGTACTTTGAGAAGGGCTGTCTTTTCACTGCTTTGGGAAATAGTGTTTCAACGCAGAGAGTAACAGAGGCTCATGTTACTGATGGATTTGACCATAGGGTATGTGCTTATTTCACTTACAGCTTTTGCGTCAAGTCTTTTGCGGAGCAAACACTGACAATGGATTTCCTGTACACCGAGGGACTGCCTCACTCCAAAATAACAATACGCATGCAACCTCAGGCCTGGCCCTTGGCCAGCGTAAACTCCCTGACTTCATTCCGAATGTCCACATAATGCTGGCAACTCTCCTTTCATTTTGGTTGTTTTCCGTATTTTCTCCAGTTCATATTTCAGTAATACAGAAGAGATCATTGGATATATTTAACTTCCATTTCAAGCTTATGTCTGACAACTGAAAATTTGACAACTGAAAGTTTGGACCAAAACTAGAATGCTACCACATCAAATGCACAAGCTGAAAGGAGAAAAAAAAAAAAAATCCCAATATGTTACCTTGCAACACTTCTGTGCCTGTGAATGGAAAGATGAAACTCCCTAAGTTCCTTCAACCCTGTATTGCAGTCTTTCAGCTTTATGCTGAAATACATACATTGCAGCTCAAACAAACCTAGCTTCTATTGTCCTAGTTGGTTTACCGCATGCTAGTTTATTGCCTTTGTAATTCTCTGGAATATGGCCATGGAATTTAAGTCCAAAGTTTAGCTTACACAAATTAAACTGTCTTAAAAGCTTCGAGTAGTTCTGGTCAAATAAACGGACATCAATACTGTGACATTATTTTCTTAATGGCAAAACTGCAAAAACCCACCGCACTCGGCGGCTGAGAGCTTGCTGATAATTTTCCTCATTGCACACTGTTGTGTTTTTTAAATTTCTATTCAATTTTCTTAACAAACACACAGAGAAAGCCTGATTAAACTTCTGCAGATCAAAGTACAGCCCTAGACACTGGAGTGTTCTATTTATCCACAGAATTGTATAGCACAGCAAAAGCAGGAGCGCTGCAGGACACCAGCCACCAACTAACTTCTGTCTAACTAGAGAGAGAACCTGCAAAGCTGAGAAAAAGTTCTACTCTCACAGCCTGTGCAACCCCTTTCTGCGCGGCAGGGACCATCAGGCTGAAGGTCTGATGGGCTGCTGGTATGTTCACCCACACTGCTATAAGCAGCTCCTTACTTTAGATATGTCATCTACAAGGTACAGATGATGACAATTTTGTCATTGGACAGTTTTAAGAGTCGCTCAATAAATGAAATGGCATGTAGCTATTTTGTAGCTTCCTCACGTGCAAAAATTTACAATAAAATTTTTGAGAGAGACAAGAAGTTCTAAATTTGTGGAAGCTCTTGCCTAAGAGCAATAAATATTTGGTTTGCAAAACTTAAAGGTATCTTTTAGCATTGGTAAGTTAAAATGCTTTTCTGATGTCTGCTCCTTAGACTACAAAGAGATTCCTTGTGGTTAACCAGCTTCACCTGCTCCTACTTAGTTATTTGTCACCAGACAGCACATTAGACATCTGATGGGCCCATCAGCTGAGCAGCATGTGTCAACAACCAGTGTCCTTGTTAGAAAGGATATGTGTTGGGGCCTCTTTCCTAGAAACTCCTTTCTTCCTTATGTAAGGCAGATGCCATAGTCAACTTGTCAGGTTGGTTTTGTTACATGTAATTGGCTTTTTATTTTTAGGTTGAAAAAAAATGCTAGGAATTCTCATCAACTCCTAGGCAGCACACTGGAGCATAATGGTTTTGAACAAAAAAAGAAAAAAGGAAATAAAAATAAGTCAGCCATGTATTCTCTTCTTAGGCTTTAACAGTTAAAGCAAATAAAAGTTTAGTGGCACCATGGCAATATATTCCATGTTTTGGGGGGGGAAAAAAAGGCAAAAAAAAAAAAAAAGAAGAGAAAAGAAAAGAAATCCCCCCTTCAACAGCCCCAAGATATCCACAAGTCAGCCAATGACTAACAAATTTTGGAGCAGTGTCAAAGTACCCTGCGCCAGGATTAACAGCATATGTAAACTTTACAGCTATGGTTATTCAAGAGTAATCTCAAGTGGCCTCTGTCTGCTGGCTTAATGAACATTTAGAGAACTGATCCTGCAGCTAGCCAGAGCTATGAGTGCTTTTTATGACAGTCCGTTGAGAGCATTTTCAAATAGGGTAAGAGCTCAAACTGATGAAGATCAGACCTTTTATGTCTATAGGTATGAAAATAAAGGGCAGAGACATTTGAGAAGATAATAGAGGTTCAGAGATAGCCACAAAACCTCTAACAGTATCTCAAAGGTAAAGGCCCTGTTCAACTGCTATTCCTTCTTCTTCAGCTTTCCTCCTCTTTACTGGCTACAGGTTATGGAGTGAATCAGTGACATCAGTGGTCTAGTATAGCACTTAGGGCTGGACTATCTTCCTGGTGCCTAGGATGGAGTTATGTGGGGGAAAGATAACTCAAGACTGCAGCGTAACTTGAGTTTGCTTGAAGAAAACCAACTGGCTGGTCGGTCAGAAAAATCCCACAGTGCATCTGTGGTTTGCACCTACAACATTCCTCCAGGCTCATTTGAGCATAAGACCCCACAAACACCTCTGATGCTCAAGTAAGGTTGTCCGTGACATCTGCACCTCTCCATATGCTAAACAATTCCTTCATCAACGCCCTGCCCTCTCTCCATTTATTTGGACTTTCCAGCTGCATGCCAACCCACTAGCCTCCTCCAGTTTGCTCTGCTCAGACTATGCTCAATTTCATCCTATAATAACTTACACACCGGGGCCATCAGTTGTTCCAGTGGTTTAGGGCACTGGGACATGAGGGCTCTGGGCTGTTTTATCCCTATGCGATCTAGGGATGTCCCTCAGGTGGACTTACCCTGTGGTCTGACACCATCCCAGCACTCGTGGTTTTGTTAGGAGTCCCCAGCCACTGCCACCCAAACCCTCAAGGCCATGCCTATCTGTGCTGTGTAACTGCACACTTGCTCTGCTGGGAACGTGAGTTTACTCCCGAGCTGGGTTTACGTGAGGATGTAATGCATTTGCTGCCCTTCAATCAAGCAGATGATTGCTTGAGCTGATGAAGCAGTGCAGGCAAATCTGTTGGTCTGAACCTCAGCCCCCTGTCCACAATATGTGGACAGCAGCATTCACCCTATAATGGATGTAACACCAAGTTAATAAACATTAAAAAATTGCAAGGCACTCTGGTACATTGTAAAAGAGACCAGTAAGCACTACAAATTTACAAAGTAATTTTCCAGGAGACAAAATTTAACCTCAATCTGTGTCCTTTAAAAATATAAGAACACAAAACCACCAGCAAAACAGACAGACATATTCCTTGCAAAGTCATGTAATCAAAAAAGTGTATTTTTGCTGCAGTCCTTCACTCATTCTTTCTGGTATTTGTCTGCCAACATTTTTTGTTTTTTTTATTTAACTCTCTGATGTAAGTTCAGATTTCTTTATTTCATATAGAGTTACTATGAACCACTTACCACAGTGAAGAGGATTAGCAGAAAGGAACATCAACAGTGCTCGCAACCTCATCAAAAGTGCACAACCTCAAGAACTAACATCATCATTAAAATGTCACTAGCTTGACTGTAATTAAACACAGTTCTCAATATCACATGCTTACCCAGATTATTGTGTGCTGGAGACATGGGGTTTGGTGATAAGTTTGGAGAACCTGAAAATCAAGACATTATTATTATTAGCATCCACACAAGGAAAAACACTTGCACAAAATTGTCAGCGCTGCCCAGGCTTGTTGGAGGGATAACCCACTTCTCACTTAAGTCTCGCTTTGCGACACCAGCAGCTTCTCTGATGCTGATTACTCTTTACATGTGCTTCCAAATGCTATTACTTATTATATCAACTTGCTACATCTGCAATACTGCTATGCATCTTCATAATGCATTCACTTAAGCTTAACCCATTAATTTTCAATTTTTTTTCTGTTTTACTTTCACTTGCAGTTATCAAAACTCCAGGTACCACCGGGACAGCTACAGTCAAACCGAGTTAGCTGGGCATTTGAGAGCTTGATTTTACATTGCTAGGCACAAAACATACTCACTCATAAGAGTCGAAAACGTACCACTTCATATCAACAAATCTTACTGGTTTTGGGACAATGGAGTATTGGATCAAGCTATACAGATCTGACCAAACAACTGTCAGAATTTTATCCCCAATCATTTCAATTTGGTCCAAAAATTCTGTGCATATATTTCAAATATCTGCACTTGGATGCCCAGAGCAATTTCCACAGTCTCTGGATGCCACATGGATGCAGACAGGTGGTACAGCCCATTTTTTCTTTTCCTCTCACACTGAGTTCGGCTGATTTCTTTAAAATGTGTTTTTTTTTCTATAAAGAGGGAAGTCCATGACATCTGAAGGAAGAAGGGATATAGCATTTGAACATAAATTGGGTATTTATAGCATCTTCCAGACCAATCCTATTCCAGTCCACTTTCCCAAAAAGCCATACGTACATTCCACATCAACCACATCACCAATAACTGTGTGCACTAAAATGGTTTGTGTCAATAGGCTTATGTTTGATGTAGACAAACAAACCCACACTGCCTTCCTCCATCTGTATAACTGCGATGAAAGACTGCAAATCAGTCATCCCTCTTTTAGAATCCCACGTATTGTCTACGGCTGAAGACATGCAGAGAAACCAAGATATTTGTGTGCAGTATTTGCATTAATTAGTTTATATAAGTGCCATGTACTTGCATATCCCTCTTGCAAAGCATCAGCCCTTCTCACCAAGGATGTGTTTTTGCTTTTCAAGCAAAAGCTTTATGAATTCGGAGTCTGATTCAGTGGTTCTTATTCACAGCAGTGACACCACTCCGATCAACAAGATGTCTTAAACAGTTACCCCCGGAAAGATGAGACCTGCATGTTTAATTTTGAAGTGTTGATACAGGTTAGCATGAACACTAAGGCTGCTCATTCTACACGTGGTTACTTGTTTTCTTGGCAATGAGAGAGTGAACCTAGACTTTCAACTTTCTTTGGGATATATCCACTAAACGATAAACCCATTTAAACACAAATCTCCTAGCGGTCATTTCAAATATAGTTAAACTGGACATTTCAGTAAGTAAACAACCAAATGACCAGAAAAATGCCTCTGCAGAAAAGTGCCAACTACGTGCAAAATTTTCACTTGCATACAGTTGCATGGACGCAAATACAACACAAACTATCATCCTTAGATGTGTCTCCACTGTTTCAGGTTCCTGCTTAGTACTGTCTAATGATGGACGTTGGGGAGAACAGGAACATGCTGTACCTTTCACCAGCAGCTCTAAAACATACAGCCCTGTGCTTTACATGAGATGTCAGGCTACATTTGCACTCCTACAGGGATAAAATACCTCAAGCCACCATCTGATCTTCAGTGCCCCAAAGGAAAACTTTAAAAGAGTCTCTGATATGACATAGAAAGCTGTAGCAAGTGGCAAAAGATGACTTACCTGCATCCATGCTGGGGTTCATCTGGTGGTCACTAGTTTCTCCATCCTCACTCAAATAGCCTGGAGGAGGTGTCTCTAGAAGCATAAAATGATCATACTGTCATTGCAACTGGATGCAAAGTCTGGATTTTAGACACCAAAAACATTTACTTTGTTATTCACACGGAGCTAAATTTCTTTTTTATTACTTTTCTTCCTTAAGCTGCTGAAAGGAGGAGCTGGCACAACCAGGGTGATAGTCATAGCATATTTGTGAATAACAGAGAAGGGGGAAACAAAAAAATGGGCATTTTCAGTCCCATAAAACTTTAAGCCATGTAGACAGTTTTCTGTCCACATATTTTTCCTCTCCTGGTATACAGCTGCATAGCTTGTCCATGCAAATAAGGTGTAAATTGCTTGTAAAAGAGATACATAAATAGAAGAGCTCAATTCCATCAGAAATTTAGAGAGTTTTACTCAAATTAAAATGGCTGAATTTCATTCAAATCTAAACTTGCTAAGGGAACATTCAGCTTTAGATTTCACAACAAACTGAGTATGTACTACAGAAGGGAAGAGGTGAGTTTAAAGAAAGAAAACAAAACTATAAACAGCACTGTTGTGTGTCTACATTTACAGCTTTCATCTATTTTTGTATAGGTTCCCACTCCTTAGCTTCATAGTAACGATGGAAAGAAAGACTTTCCAGTCATCCAGCTTGGCATACATAGACACGATTCACTGTGCAATATGACCCTTTTCCCTCTGCTCACTGTACAGAAGATACACAGTACCTGGAATGTAGTTGCTCTGTGGCTCGATACCTGCTGGGAAGTTAGTGTTCTCTGGAATAGAATGACTATAATCGTCTAACGGCGGGAACTCAGCTGGGATCTCTGTGTGCCGAGGCACCAGCACTGGAGGTAACACTGCACAAATGGAAAGGAAAAAAAAAAATAGAACAGCAATGTTAATAGCTTTAAAATAAAATGACTGAAACCCTAGAAAATGAAGAGAAACCAGTTTGGAGTAACACCCTTAAATACATGCAACACCAAAGTTGCTAATTAAGGGACACAATTTGATACTTGCTTCTGAAATAACAGCAGCAGTTAAAGATGCTATTCTTAACATATCTCAGCTGGGGACGGGATACGTGCTTATCTGAACACACGTAGTCTGTTGCCCCTTCAACAAAAGGGCAAAGAAACAGGTCTTCTTGAAAAACCATTTGAGAGAAGTTATACCACATGATTCAAAAGGAATAAATTTCACATAAAATGGAACAGCAAGGTAGGAGTAGCATAAACATCCAGACTGGTTCTGCAGATTTGTTGTGACACGCAGCAGAACTATCTGCAGTTCCAGATGAAAGTCTCTTTCGGAGGCAGGAGGAGACTTCAGAACAGGAAGTTCAGTTGTGTTGGGAGCTATTCTTAGATCTACTTCAACTTAAAAGTAAGTTTATCCTTAATTTAACACCAACAATTAGGGACACATACAACACTGCTGTAGTTCATACTTGTATCTACTATGCGTGTGAGTTGTTTACGTGCACACAACGCCACATTAGGAACCTGGCAACAACACAACCTGCTCGACTTGGATTTTATTGACTTAAAATGATATTTCCCCCTGAGTGCAGATTCATAAATTATTCTACTGTGTACAGTAAGAGATTATCATCAATAATAGATATACTTCGGTTTTAAAACCCTATGCCAGCTGCTTTATTCAATTTTGAAATGCACTTATAAATCCCTTATGCTGGTACTGAGAAGCTGAGGTATCCACACATAGGGTCAGCAGTACCTGGCGTTTCCACTCTTTGGTAATGATACGGATTCACACAGACTTCGTCCTTCTTCATGTTAAAGGCATACTCGCACATCTCCATGGCACGCAACTCATGGTGGCTATGAAGGTCTGGCCACCGCCACAGCCGGCAGTAGATCACATGGGGAAGACCTTTCCGGTGAGATACTTGCAGCCGGCCATCTAATGATCTGCAGTCAGAACATAAAGATGATAGCAAATTAGACTGGCATTATACATGTATAGTACTGACCACATCCCATCAAACACTACACAGGGGAACCTAATGTGAAGATTGCAGACTTCAGCGGGAGGCTCAAAGCATAGGCTGCCCAGCCAACTCAGTATCCTGACACAATCCCAAAAGGTGCTAGTCACCAAAATCCACTGAGGCAGTGCTGCAAGGAGGCATTCCAGTCCCAGTCTTCAGGCCAAGAAGTTACCTCTGAAAACTGTAAAATGTTTCTTTTCTTTAACAGCCCTGCTCTGGATTTATTAATTTTCTGAAAAAAGGTTAATTTGGAGGCAGAGGCAAGGGCTACAGCAAGTAAGAATACATCAATTTAGTGGTACTTCTTGGGCATTTATGTGTGTCCTAACAAACACACCATTTGCATGTGTGTACATGCAATGTACAACAATTTATGCTGTGCATGTAAAGGTATTACATCTTAAAATATGTGCTAATAAAACTGGACTTTTAAAATACAAAGAGACGTGAATTTCCATTGTGACAAAATCATCCCAAATTGGTATAGTACCTTTTCTTTAAACAGTGTTCACGAACATTACCAAAAAGCTTCCAGTTGCATTTTCCAAATTGCAGCTTGAAAGCAAAAAATAGGGTTTTTTTCAGCATTGCTTACTTTTGTTTTTACATCTAGCGTGTGTCTCCTCCAACTCATTTTTCACCTAATCCTACCCTCACCCCAGAAGAGCCTGTTCCTACCAAACCTTCCTGGGAAGCAAGACAAGTGTGTTCAAATCCTCTCCAGCAGAGGAAAGAGTTGGAGCAGGGTCTCCTCCATCCTGAATGAGGGCTCCACTCCCTGAGCCACTACACGGGAACTGCCCCCAGGCACTTTCTTTGAAGTCTAACCCTTCATTTCCCTTGCTTTTCTTAGTGACTGAAATGAAACACTTCAGGGGTTTGGTGAAATGAAATATTTCTATTTTTTAATTTGTCAAGGAAAGAAAAAAAAAATTGAAATTTTACTCAGAATTATTTCCCTTGGTTCTTTGTGTTGGCAGCCAATCTAGAAAAACAAAACAAACCCAAACCAAAACACACAAACAATTATTCAAACAGTGGTTGCGCTAGTCTTGGCTGCCCTAAGAGAGTTTTCCCAAAAGCTTCTCTGGCAGAGTTTGGTAACACACGCACCTCTTGTAAACACTGCTACAACCATGAGGAAGGCAAAATGCAACCAATTCAAGCTATTACTGACAAGCACTTGATTTAGGGGAGCAGGAAAACATGTCATATAACTGTTACGTATGAAGTATATAAGGAATCTATGCCATCACTGAGGGACTTGCTGGTACAGGTTACAAAACATCTAAAACCTGCAAGTATATTACAGCCCTGAAAAATGCACAACACCCACAGTTACTATTTATAGTACTTATTTATAGTGTGTCTTTCTTCATATTGTGCCTGTTATTTATGGGTCACGTTCTCTTCAGACTTCACTCTTCAGACTGCTCTGTGGACAGGGTGACCATCCAGCTGAGTATCTGGCACATTTTCCAAGTGTGTTCTTATGCTAAACTCCTTCTGAGGACAGGAAAGCAGAAATCGGTCTTCCCAGGTGGAAGACTCACAAAGAGGGTGCCAGTGTCTAGAACCGATCTTCTGTGGAAGGTGGGAATCTTGGTATTGATTTCAATGGGGCCAAGACTTGACTTATGTGACCCCAAAACTTGTCAGTTTGGAAAAATTTAAAAATATATATATATACCAAAAGTGTGCAAATATTCACTAAATTTAACAAAAAGAGAGTAGGCTGAAACAAGGAACAAAACAGGACTGCTTTTCTATTCCCCTTTCAAATATCTTTGTCCACTTGGAAGGGTATCTTGCATCTAAGTGAGGGTAAAGAGAAAAAAGAAGGCTCAGAGAGATTATTCCAAGTATCCTGCAGGAGACACAACTGTGGCAAGTGTTCTTACCGTTCCCAGTCACCATCACCAGATGGACATCACAGCAGCACCGACAGATTTGGGTTGAGGTCAGCAGCTGAGATGGGGGGACTAACACAAAGTGTGTATGACTTTGGGATTACTTGCAAGGATGGGTCTCTCCCTACATTTCCCAGGATAGAAGCAGCTCTTCATACCTACAGCAAACTTCCCAGCCAGCTGGAGGGTAAAGCGCACTTCTTCCCATCACCCCAGGGTCCTTGGTAAAAGCTATGAAGTCTTCACAAAAGATGAGCCAGTACATCCGCATGCCTGACACTCTCTGGATGCAGTGGCCCTCGCCACCCAAGTTAATGGAGCCCTTCCACTGACAAAGTTCTCGTTGTCAAGTTGTCTTGTGACAAGTCACTGTTGTCTGAGCAGTCCCCAGATCTTGAACAGCTTCAGTGGTTATCTAAAACAAAAACAGCCTAAAAGCGTAACAGAGCTCTCAACCACTAGCATCACAGCTACTCATTTTTGTTAGCAGAGACTGCACACTGCAGAAAACCTGTTGTGCTTGCGATCTACCACTGCTCATGGCATGAATGCTGTCTGTAAGGCAGAAGAGACTGACTTCTCTACAATCTAATCTAAAAAGACTTTTTAAAATGACAGAGACATATGTTTTATTTTCAAATATAATAACCTCCCCTTCTCCCCTCTCCCCCCAATAAGAAGATAAGGTAAAAGAAATTATATTTCCCCAAAGCCTTGGGGGCTAATAACATTTTTATGATTGTGAAATCTCTCCTCAGGCTCTCTGTTAAGGGACTTGGGACAAAACAACGTCGTCTGCATGTTCTTGGGAAGAACATGGCTAAGTAACAGGGCAGCTTTATTTCCTTCTGCTGTCCTGCCTCAACCCTCAAGGAGTATTTTCTCCAAAGCAACAAATAACTGGTATGGCTGAGATGGGACACAGGATTAGATGAGCAAACAGTGTGCTCTACTAAAGGCAGCTTTTTGTGTAGATACAGCACTCCAATTACCACAGTCAACTGCCACATCTTTATTAGCTAACTGAATGCTCATTTGTAGATGCAAACACTTGATCGAGCACGAGAACTGTCTTGAGCACCCAGTCATCCCACTTATAAATTATCTAGGCTGCAGTCTTAAGGGTAGCTGTGCCAAGCTATGGGACTAGCACTGCCTTGGTGAGATGGTCTTCCTCCTGTCCAACACATTCCCCTTCTCACAGTCCTGCCCTATCTCATCTCCCCCCTTCTTTCATTGGTTCCAGTCCCCTTAGCATCATACCACAAGCTGCCTCAGGTCTCTAACTTGGCAGAAGACTACCCACTTTTTCATGGGTTAGGAGGCTGTAACGTTTCTTGGAGGAACCTCATGAAAACCAAAAGCTAGTGCGAGATAAGTTAGTATACACTTTTGTTAGCATGCACCACAGCTGAGGATGCATTTGACTGGCTCACCATCTCCGGAGTCCACAGCCCTCAGGGATGACCCAAGCACGTGTGTGTCTCACACCCACGTGCAGAGTAATCTGATAATAGACTCCATAGCACACACGACTTCTACCCTTTCTTGGTCCTGTTCTGAAGCACAGTCTGATATTGAAGGCTGAAGTATTCCCCAAACCACCTGAGAGCTCAGCACATCCAGGCTTCATTAGAATTAGCAGCATCTAAGCACCAAAATTTCCATTAGGTTACTGAATTGTTCCTCCCTCTTACCTTTCTTTTAACCAGCCTGTGTTGAGCAGATCTCCCTGTACAACTGACTTGATACATTTATTATTCCGTACTACCTAACAGGATTTCTTTTAAAAATACCAAAGCTTCTTTGGCCAAAAATTCAGTATTGGATGGTTCTCTCCAAAAGCAGCACCATTTATTTTGGTGGGACAATATGTCTTCAAAGTTTCTCTATACTGCATGGTGGGATTAAATAGCAAGAGTTGTAAAGAGCTCTTCTTTTCACGGTGTCAATGTTTAGACTGAGCGGGTGATGCAGACTCTCACTGTCAGAGGGTGTTCTAGTGCATCTTTCGTAACTAGCATGTATCCTGAACTTGCAAGATAAGAACGAGAAAATATTGTGATCCACAAGCCTGTTTTACTAAGGGAAATACGATGAGCTGTAGTTATCACCGCCTGCGAGTGTGAGAGCATGTAGGCTATGAGAGCCTGCAAGATAAAGTAAAAACAAAGCCAGAACACAGCAAGATTGCTGAGCTGATACCAGTTAGCAGTGGTTTAGAACAAAGAAATGAATTCAGCAATGATTCAGAAAAACGAAGTCCTGATATGACAAGACAAAGAAGAAGCAGAGAGGAGGAAGACAGCGGCTCAGTGATGTTAAGGATCAGCCCATTGAGAAGAACGGTAGAGACCAGCACTTCCCCACCTGAATGACAACTAGGTGGCCAGGAGACCCACTGGGTGGCTGTGCTGGGTGGGAGAGCTGACTGATGCCTCACAGCATGTCTGTCCCAGCTGGTGTTGTGGGTGTTAGCAATAAAGATAATGACTGCGCACCCATATCCTGCATGTAGGATACAGCTCAGAAGACTCAGTGCTTGGTAAAAGATGCCCAAGGAGAAGTTAGCCAAAGGCTTGAGCGTTACAATATGGTGCGTTCAAACATGATCAAGAGGTATCCAGTGGAGAGGTTACTCCACACCTAGGGCAGCTATAACCAGAGATTAAAAAACACTGAACAAAGAAAGAGAGACCAAGACTCCAGGAATGCAGTCAGGTAATTTAATTGCTTGCACAACAGCATAAGGCATGGCCAGGACAACATTACCGTGTCCATAAGAAACAAACAAAAAAACCCTCAGGCTGAACACCTTTCGGATTGATCCATCGGTATATGTTGTTACAAGCCATTTACCAGGAAAGTTTAACACATGAAACTGCTACTCCAAACTGTCCAGACTACTGCTGCTCAAAGAACAAAGGGCAACAGTGACTCTTAATAGCAAAAACAGAGAAGGGAAGAAAAAAGAATGACAGAAACACTGAAGCTTTTTTTTTTTTT